TGAAATTTGCTTATTTCATCCTATGTTTAAAATAACAAATCAAGAAACAAAAGATGTGCGTTAACAACGTTATGTAGTGGCACTTACATCAGTTTTCAATTTAGGCCAGTAGTCTAACATTATACAACATGGTAATTTTCATAATGAACCTGAACCAAAACATGCTCTGGTACAACATCTGGCTTTCAATCAATTGTCCAAAGAGCAAGATAAAGATATGTAATTAGTCAAAACGTGCAATCTTTTGCAACATCTATACCGTACTGTGTCGGGACTAAAGCATGCTTGGAAATGTAAATGAAAACAATGAATACAATTTAAGCTAAAACAATACCTGTGCGTATATCATATACAATCCGCCTGCTTTAACTTTAATTCTGCCATTATTTTGTACTGAGGACATGTCATAGAACTTTGATATCTGTTTGTCGCTTGGATTCACCCATGTTGGTGTTTTCCATAAGTTTGTAAGATCTGAAATATTGAATATTCTACAGTGCTACAGTGTATGGTGATACTACAGTGTATGGTATTAATGGGCAAAAGAAACACATATTTATTCATAAATAGGAATAAGAAATCTTGCAATGTTGTCGGTAGTATTGTATCTGATAGCTGGCACCGATATAATCAGTATTCATTCTGCAGAAATTTCAGAATCAAGGGCCAAACATGATTAATGAAACGTAACTATACAGTAATAAAGTGTATTACGAGCCGTTCTTTAGCACATTGCAGAATGAGAACTTTAAACATATTGTAAAATATAAATGTCTTGCTATGATGATTTTTTTTACAAAAATGACACCAAGATGCGGAATATTTTAATCATAATTATAAAAAGAATCATCCAGGTCTCAACACTGGTGTGTCTACAAATTTGAAATCATATTCCTGTAAATGACAAAAGCGTGCCAATTAAGTCATATTGTAATTATATTATATCAATGGCAGGAACTAGCACCTGAATCGTATAGATTATACCGTTTCTAATTGAAATTCATTTTGTCGAATATGTTAATGTTTCAAAGGAGGCAGAAAGTGGTAACTTACTACTTTTGTCTGTGTATCCTGGCCCACCTTTGCCCTCTATCTGAACGACCGGGAGACAATTCTAGAACGACGAAAAAATGTATTAAGCGTGCTTTACGCTGATGTGTATTCCGAACAGACGACTTGGCCGACAATGTCAGCCTTGAAGCAGCTGCTAGGGGGTACAATGAATACGAAGACAATCAATTCGACTGGTGGTTTCTTTATATAGCTATAGTATCAGATAATTAGCCATCTTTTTCTATTGATAAAGAGGTATATAGATATGAATTGTAAGCATTTCTAGTATAACAAGGACCATCAGAACAGATTTCAAGAACTTATGTCACTTGAGAAAAATGATATCATCTGCCCATCTCTAAGTCTATGACCTATTTAATTCTAAATATATTTATATTTCACTCATTATCTGCTATTTTTGCACACGTTCCCGACTGAAAGTGGTAGACTGGATCATTTTTTTTTCCAAAGAGGTCATATGTCAGAATCTTTTATAAAGGTAACATGTTCGAGTGCTATGAGAATCAAAACAAAATACAGCACGCAATGTACACATTCCGGATATGCTGTTGGTGAAATAGCGGATTCCAAATTAGTGATACAAATGCATATATATTGTTTATGTTTACGTGACCATATCTACTTGCAGATAATTTGGTAATTTCAAACGCAGGTATACAAAATCACCTTTTTCGTAATAAATGTTAAATGAACAAGCAAAAAAGCACACAAAAATAACGCAAAATACACAATGTAGATGTTTGCATTATTGCTCGGTTTTACGCCGGACGAACACTATTTGCAAATGTTATTGTATTGAATAAAAATATCATAATTTTCTAAAGATAAAACCGTAAAGGTCAAATGGATAAATGCATAATGAAATAATATTGTTATAATTTTATCTTAACTTCAACTATTATACAATATTACTAAATTGGAACAAACAGTCAACAAATGTTAAGTTTTAAAATGAATCAGATCATCATAAGACGTCATGGTGCAAGGACGTATGTCCTATATCTAACTATAATAGTGTAAAAACTACAACAATTCATGTAGAAACAATTGTAATACATAAAAACAAATGCCAATTTTCCTTGCTTTATAGATTGGGTTTTCAATGGTTAAAGATTGTAAACTTCTACGCCTCTAGAAATCTATACACACTATCAAACCCTGCCTGGCACCGACTCATAAGTATGATTAAGTAAAAAACATTTTGTTGTTTACGTTTAAACTTTATATCTAATGTACTGTCATGCATTTTGTGTTGCCTTTTGATCAACCATATGTATATTTATTCAAAGTTTAATTACGTTTTGAATAAATAGGTCATTACCCTTTATGCAGTTGAATTATTACGCAACACAGACTTGTGGAGTATAGTTCCAATTTTTTTCGCATGTTTAAATTCTCTCATTTTTATCTTATTTTCAATTACAAATATAATTGTTTTTCAGTTACTGTTATAGTTTTCTGTGAATACATACTCTAATTCAGTTTTAGAGATATTTCTGTTTATGTTATATTACATTCTTATTCTTACATTCTTATTCATGAATGTAATATTTATTCTAACATGCATTAATAAAAAAAAACAATAGAACAGAAACGATACTAAAGAACTGGTTACACATATATACAATTATGCAATATCTTAAAATATCAACAATTTATTTTTTGAATTCAAACCCTCCAGTACTTTTCGATTTCATTATGTTGTTCTTTTGTTAAATTACTGTTTGCATTCAAGCAATAAAATGTACAATGCATGACTAAACAGGTATTACAAATGAATTTATGTTTTCCCCAAAAAAGTAACTTGTAATACAATATCTATAAATATATATCAAAAAATATATTCGTGTAGTATGTAAGTTAAAAAATGAGAAAATAGTTACAGAAGGCATTGCATTTTTAACAATGTACTCAACCAAAACGATTTTAAGTCATATAAAAGTGAAATAAGTCCAGAAAACCTTAAAATTCAAATATGTTTTGCCTATTTTATCGTGCAAAGTAATTTCATTGCTAGAGTGCAAGTAAACTGTTGTAACTCTATAGTCAACTCTTTCTGTACTTATTTAAATATGTTAAGGACAGGCAATCACACATTGAGAATTCAAATAGTAACATTTAGAATGATAAATATTTTAGGGAATCCCCCTCTCCTTTCCCAACTAACCACATTCGTATAAATACTTGGTTTTTTGACAATCACATTTAAAGTTGGACGAAGGATTATAATATACCATTAAAATTTTACTAAAATAAGGAATAGGCGTATAAAAATTGAGAAACGCAATCGTTGAGTAAATATTCATTTTATGGTTATTCTTAACAATCTCTAATTCATAGAGTTATTCAACGATTAACATTTATTGGAATTACATATATCTTTGGTTGTTTTTCAAATTGGCGAAAGTTAAATTTCAGTATGATATGATAGCGTAATGTACTGCTATATTTATTGTGATTATATATTTATGAAACAAAAAATAACATTGGACAAAATATCTAGTCAGTGGCTGAATGGAAGGTATTATATATACAAAGATCAAAGATTAATTATTTTTGTACAAGAATTATAGTTTTACACGTAATTAATATGTCTTGTTCTAGATTGTTATTTTTGTTTTAAGTATTTTTAACACGACCTGCAAAGATGTGATTTATCATCTTTTTTCATTCTGTTTAAATCTTTAAACTTCAAATATACAGATCAAGTTTCGTTATTCGTTATCAGAACATTATACAAATTTAGATCAGGAAGTGTTAAATATTCAACGTGATTGGTTAATCAACCGACCAATAAAAACGCTTTAAATATTCAGTCTTTAAATATTGCGTGTTTGGTGCGAAATTGTTGTAACTGATATGAGTAAGAACACTGGATACGATCAAATTGTACTTATCTCAGAGATATTTGACACACATTTGTCACTGGGTAGTAAGTCTAACCCTGACCGCGTTTAAGATGTAAACATTGTAATTTAATGTATGAAGGACGCAAAGCCGTATAGTACTTCTGCTAATTTAAGCGAGTTACAACACAGAGGTTATTGACTTAAGGCCGTTAAGATATTTTCAGAACATCTTTAAACAGTTGAAAATTAACACCTATTTCGACTGATACATACGATAACAGGACGATTAGGTAAAGTCTGACATTTTCTTGACCCCATGACCGCCTTAATTATAATATTGGCCAACATTTAAGCAGACGTTACCAAAACATTAAGATAACATTAAGTTATACGGGTTAATGCGGTATTTTTGACCTCTTAGTGTCAAATATTAGGTGGAGTTTACCTTATTGATATTACAGGATAAATCTATAAATACTTCTTAAAAGTAGTTAATAACCTTCTTTGTGGCGACCGTAAAAGGTAACGCCCATATGATTTTAAAGGTGTTTTTGCAAATATTGTATCTATTAGCAGAACAATTCTTTTTTTGTTTTATTTTGTTAAATTATAACTGACACTGACACTGCTAAAGGTCAGATGGCGACTTTGCAGCTCTTTTAATTGGTTCAGACCTCAGCGGCCGCTTCGTGAATTATTTTAGTCACGAGTAGGCAACCGAGTACAATCACCGACCCTCCGTTACATGAAGCTATCTGGATAGGTTCCCCTCACATGAAAATATCCAAAGTCTTTTAACGGACTCGAAGTCACAACGATTACGAGCCAAGGGTTCGAAGACAGTGATTTTAGCAACTCGGCCACAGATGTCCCTTTTTGTGTACAAACACACAAATGACGTTATGGTTTTATAAAATAGTATTTAGTGTCATAATTGAATATTTTTCTCGTCGGCTTTATCTGTTTTAATAGTAAGAGAGTTTTCTATACGTTTTATACAAGTAATAAAATACCATTTTAATGTTTCAGGAAAATGAATGAGGACTCTCATTTACAAGCATTTGTATGTTCGAATACCTTGCACTTCTTTCCTTTTTTCTTTTTCCGGGTAGCTGCTCTTTTCCTCCTGGTGCTTTCTATGCTAATACTGTTTGTGTCTTCTTTTTGAAATTTATGTTCCACTACATCTGTCCCCATCTTAAAATAACAAACATGCAATCAGTACAATGTTCTATTTGTTATCAATATATATTGAAAAAACATATAGGCTATTGGCTGAACTTGTTTCTTTACGCAAATCAGCAAAAAAATGAAATGACTACTAATCTTCACATTATAATTTTGCTCCGCAACAATAACTTTAAATTAGATACTGAAATGTTGTTATCTGACATAAGCAACAAAACATGTTTTAGGCTTGTCATTATTACAACATTTACACGATTTTGAAGAGATGTAAACATGCACAAATGGAATACACCTCCTATAAATACATGTTACCATAGTTAGTAGCATTCGTTATAGACAAACTTAGAGGAATAGAAAGTGCTGATTACAAAAAGAATAACTGGAAACAGAAACAAAAATGTCTCAATAAGAATGCATTGCAAGTATAAACTTAATGAAGATGATGGGGACCTTGAAAGCAAAATTAATAAACAATTTGGCGGATGCAACCAATATAACTATGATGATCTACAGAACTCCGATTAAGTTTGTTGCGGAAGAATTGTGTAAGGTGCAGCATATCTCACGTGCAGAACTTCGAAAATTACTAGAACAAAGAGTTTTTTCTTAGATACGTTAGGATAAAACTTATCAGTGCTTAGAGATATTCTATTGGTCATAAAACAAATTGTTCGGGTTGACAGATATAATTTTGGGTATTGTAAAATGACAACGTAACAATGGTTACTTTTACATTCATATTCTCACTGGTCGTATTAATAATGAATAGTAAAACCTGTTCAAACAATCACATTTAAAACTCTTAGTCTCTCGTACTATACATGTTTAAAAATGGCATTTAAGACATTATGCTTCGCAAAACAAATAATCATGTAACAATACAAGAATAGTTTTATTTAAATATTTGTCATATTGATACAAGGTTAACACGCAGCATGTCAATCTACACAAAAGAAATCAAATGTTTTGAAACAAAAACAAAACATTGACCTTGGTCCTTGATACATAACAACTTTTGACGAGTACGAGAAATATATTCTGCGTCATTAACAGATATTTGTAAACTGTTGTTTTTTTACATAATGGAAAATGCTTTTTCAAAGCAAAGAAAAGAAAATGAAAAGAAAGAAAAGAAATGCACACACACACACACACATAAAAAGATAAAGTGCGAGTAGCTATAATGAGGTAGCTGTAAGTTTGTAATTATTATTTTAACTTTGCATGCACCTACCAAAGGTGGAGGAACTCCAGTTTTGTGGTTTTCAACTTGTGCATTACGCTGTTCAAGGATTGCTCCAATATCTTTCTCAACGCGACTCAATCGGTTGTTAAAATACCACAAAATTACGAGTACAACTGAAAGAACAAGAATGTTATATGCAATAAAGAGGCATAATCTAACGAATCTTCGAGTTGTCTTTCGCTGTCGTCTTAACATGCAGGCATGGCACCTTTCTGAAGGAAGCAACACAGCATTGGCTTCTAAATCCATGGTAAAGTTTAAGTCACATTTGCTTTACTTTAGGCGTAACTTTTACTTTTTCCGCTTAAAGCGTGTACACTTGCGATTATTTAAAGCGTTTAAACTATGTTATGAACCTTAATACACATAATAATATACATGCCATTAATATTGCATTCATAAAGTTTTCTTGATTGCAATAACAATGCAATATTCCACATTAAACATATAAGTCGTTTTGTAAAGTTTTATATATATATATATCCTTTGCAAAAAATGCACTTTTTCATAGAATGGTTCCCTCTTGATTCAGCCACTGAAAAGCACGTAATCATGAGATAGTAGACATGGATTACACGTATCTACGAAAAGGTATACTTAGAAAATTGACATGCTGGAACGAATTATTGACCTAAAAAGATCCAAATTGTCAGATCTATATATCATTGTGTTAGTGTTTACCAGTATTTATATAATAATAGTAACAAATACTTTAACATAAAATTGAAAGCAACTGTATCAGCAGCATAAATGCAGTTTCACTTTTATAAAATTATTGTGCATTTTCGTATTCAAATGTATCATAATTTATTTACACATAGTTTAACAGTTTTAACAATCAGAGTTTATATTTTGGTAAAAGTCCACTGCTTAAGATGCTATCCTGATCAGTATTAGCGTAATAACTAATGATGCATATCTAGAATTTTATATATCGCTAACAATTTAAAAAAAGAAAAAAAAAGAGACTTTGGACCTACTTTATTACAAATTTAATCTTTTAAAGTAATATAATTTATTAAATGTTGGATCTAACATACTGACCAGCATATTTAGATGTTCTCAGGCTGAAATAGGGCATTATATAAATATGGAAAATTATTGGGTTTTAGAACTAAAAAGTTTTAAAATGTACGGCATCAATTAACCATTTTTTAAATGAATGTGTCGAAAATGTAACACAGTCAGAGCGGTTCAATGATGGAAAAAATAAACTTGTTTCTGTTATAAAATTGCACGAAAGTTAATAACTTGTTTTTTACGCAGATCGGCAAAAAAAATAAATTACTACTAATCTTAACAATATTATAACAATATTTTTGGTTTAAAATTAAGGATGATTATAAAGTACATTTTGAGTCAAAATATGTTTACATGTTTAAATTGTTTAATAAGCAATTTATATTCGTAATAAATAGTTTAATAATTAAGGCATGGTATGTTGTTTCTAGAGATATTTAAATTTTTTAGAACATATCATATTATGTGTAAGTTCAGACCGTTCATGTGTACTCACACCTCCAACATCACCCATTGCACCGGCTTCTATAAAGAAGTAAGAAATACTATTAAAACAAGATTCAAGATTTCATTTCAAACTCTGTTTTCGACAGGCTATATGACGAGAATCATTTGACAATCTTCATACTCATTCGCATCAAGTAAGTAAAAATTTAATACAATGTGTCTCTAGAAACACAATTATAAAATGTTGAGTTAAGCAAATACAGAATGTTACGGATGATGTCAAAATTGCTCATCGTGTGTTTTTTTTTGGTTTTGTTTTTTAGAAACGGCCAATTTTATTCTATATAAAGAAAATGATGCAAAAAAATATAACATAATAGCTAACTTATAATTTGAGTCGTGTGATTATTGCTTTAAGAATACCGTCACATTCATAGTGTAAACGCATTAAAACATTATACAAGATACAACAATTCCAAAACAGGAAGATTCCTGCGACAGGAATACAAGTTTCGTTCCCAGAAGTGCGGATAAAATCACAGTTTTTTTTTTGTTCTTTTCATATGAAAATTGTACACTGTTTATTTTACTATTTATAGCCATCTATATTCGTACAAATACATCCTTGAACACGTTTTGTTTGGTTTACAAGAATCAATTGTGAAAGTGTCCTAGTGTACTGTTAAATGTAGTGTAGAGTGTACTGCATTGAGGTCTATTTTTTTCACAAAGTGTAAATATTTTTGGACTTATCTTAATACAAAAAATTACAATATAGCCAAACATATGGAACACACTTTGTACAAGTTTGAATGAATTAGATGTTAATCATCAATTACTTTAATTATAGCAATACATCTTACCAATATAAAATTCAAAATAAAAACAAATTACAAAGACAAATTATTCTTTTGATGGGACATGTTAATTTATGATAGAACTAATCAGGTTTATCGATTAAAGAGTGTTTTGAATGATGTTTTATGTATTGGACAAACAGGGCCAATTTTTCATTCTGCCTGTTTCCTAATTTGCATCATCAAATCATATGATTCGCTGTTTAAACATCAATATATTCTTATTTATCAACACAACAGTCTTTTTTTTTTCTTTATTTATCATTATTATTATATTATTTCTTTTTTATTTTTTAATTATTTTTTTTAAAGGTGACGAAACACCAAACGGGAGTAACAGTTTTTACTATTCTGTAGGGCTGATTCCCATATAAAATATCTAATTGGTACCATAAACATGCTGTCGTGGTTTGAAGGTCGCCAGACCACAGAGACACATGGATGCTCGTTAGTTTAATTTTTTGCGGTGCCTTTTTAAACATACGACAACAAAATATGACCAAAAAATCCGTCTTCATACCTTATTCAGTTTCAATGTACATTTTTCCCACAGAAGCGTGCAAGAACTCGTGTAAAAAAATATATATATTTATATGAATAATTTTCAAAACAATCTATTGCATATTAGAGCTCTTCATTTGAATATTGGTTTATACAAATTTATTTTAGTTCAATTGTGTTGGAAGCTATAAGCTAATTGAAACACTCTCGAATCCGTTCCTGGAACCAACCAGTACTAAGCAATGAATGTAAAGTTTCTTGCTCGAGGAAGCTTACCCCTGACAGTGTTTGAACCCACGCGGTGAGAAATCTAGATACTAGTCCAAAGGTTAATCGTCACGCGCACTAATTTGAATTGTATTAGAGTCTCATTTGAAAAACAGACCAATCGATCGGATTAAAACTCGTTCTAATTATAGCTAGGTCATTAGATGTGTTAGAACATACACGATCGAACTGACCCACCTTTTTCATTTATTATTATTTTGTTTGTTGTTGTTGTTTTTTGTTTGTTTGTGTATTTATCTATTTATTTATTTTATTTGTATTTATTTATTTATTTATTTATTTAAAAGCATTAGATTTAAATTAATAAAAAATAAATTAATAATAAATTAAACGATGTATACCTTAAAAAAATTGTTTGTTTGTTGTTGTTGTTCTTTTGTTTTATTTATTTATTTAAAAATATTAGATTAAAAATAATATTTAAAAAATAATAATAAATTAAATGATGTATATCTTATTAAACTTGTACCAGAAAAACTATTATTCAATTCAATTTGACTCATCCTTTGTTAAACATTACCTAACCTCACATTATTATTTGGTCATGAATAGTGATGATATAAAAAAAAGAACGGTTATATAAATTAAGCAAAGAAGATATTTTTTAAGACATTGTTTGATAAAGTATATTGTAACAGACTTTAAAGGCATATATGCTAGGGTTACTGATATAAACAAATGTATTACTGAGTGAAAACTACACTTGTATTTATTATTGATTCAAATTAGCATGATCTTGGAATATGAAAACAGAAAAAGTTTAAGCGAAAAAAATTGGAGGTACAAGTTTCTTTGTTTCAAGGGAAGATAATTCACAAACAAGGTTAGCAATGCCTTGCTTCCCGCATTACATGCAGCTGACTACCTTTAATCAAATCAGTTCTTTTGCAAAATTTCATAATTAGTAATGCATAGTATGTTCAATGTTTCTTCTTAACTTAAAGCTATGACAACCTTCGTTACATATTGTCCTACTTTAACTTTCAGTTTCCTTACTTATTAAATGGAATCAAGGTCTTTCAAATAGACTGTTGGAAAGACCCTGGTGGAATGTAGGAAAAGAGTGTTTCAATAGAATTGAATGAAATTTTGAATTGCAAAGAAAGATTAACTGACAAAACATAACATAATATTAAAAAACATGTTTATAAGACTTCTGTATAAGTAATCTGCTCTTGACATAGCATAATATTACCTTATTATTTTTCGCTTAAAATGTCCCTGTTATAATAAATTCTTAGATCAGGTAAGAATTGAATAAATCGTCTTTATTTTTGTGTTGTTTTAAAGATCCTGTAACACAAATTTTTAATGGTTTTATATCACAAATATGATGCTCAAATCAAGATTTATCAATATTGTAAGTTCCAAAAAGCATTATTTATAAAGATATTACTGAATTTAACATTTCATGTAAATAAAGGGAGGTAATTAGAAATTTATTTTCTATAAAATCTCAATAAGAAATGAAGGCATATATTATAATGATTACATGTAATGTGCACAAATACTTTCAATGCATAATTTACATATTTTTCGATGCTTGGAAAATGTTTTAGAAGCATAATTATATATACTATGTACATACATGTATATAAAATTTCACTTAAGTGTGGTAACAATCTAAATTAGAACATACAGGATCTTTAATATTTTATTTGTGCATATGTTATTCACCATACACTTCTAAAACAATGGACAAACTTCTTAGTAGCACAACTAAAATAAAAACTTCTACAGTTTAATTGAGGGAAGGGGAATGACTGTTTTTTGTGTTTTTTTAAACTATAATAAACTGCAATTAAATAAAACTAACTGATTTTTTTTGTTCTATAACATGCAAAATAAACACAATATTAGTACCAAACCTATGTCAAGTTTGCCTCCACACATTCTGAGTTTATATTAATACTTTTTGTGTAAAACAAAATTGTGGTTGTTTTAATGTTCCTATGACATTATGCTCCTTTTGCATGGTCAAGTTGAGCAAAGCTGACTTTATATTTCAAAACATTGGCTGTTATAATTGTAATTGACCAGCAGTGGATATTTGAAAGTGATAAGGATAAAAAATTTAAATCTGCCTAAAATATAAAAAGACTGTCCCACTCTTTATATAAATTGAACGTTACTAGATATATTGGACCACACGAGTTACTTATCATTCATGGGAAGTGAATTATAAAATTGTAAATTTGACTTTCACCAGCTCACATACTATGTACCCTTGGATGGACATAATGTCACTTTAAAAGTAAATCAACTATTTCCATTGAACAATAGATACTGTAATAAAAAAGTGTATTACCGCAAATCAGAAAGTAGCACTGGTGAACATATTTGCATGACTATGTGAAGATGTTCAACCTATTGCTTATTCCAAATATATCTTTCTGTATTACAAAACACTTAGCACACACTTAACACACATCAAGAAACACTTCCGAAGTTTCACAAACCATTATGCACGACTGTATTGCCCTACTGACTAACATTGCTTCTACGAAATGCATTAATTTAAGGTAAATAGGCTTGTCAAATTCTATGAAAACCTTAATCTTTAATTTCAAGAATTGAAACTGGAAGTAATAATTTACTAATACCACAAGATAAAGTGTTTTAATTAACATGACATACTCATTTATTTATCAATTAATTCATTAATTCATTCATTCACTCATTTGTTAATTTGTGTATTTATATATTAATGTTTTTATTTATTTATTTACTGATATTTAGAATTTCTGTCATAATTGTAAAAGCTTCTAATTGTACGCTGTAATTTCGGCATAGTTACAAAATAATTATTTAACATGATTAATTGACGGCAATGAAAAGTGCAATTTACCGTCCACGCCCCCTAGCACCGGCTTAAGCAGAATTCAACAATATTTTTACCAAATTGTGACACAATGTACGATGTCTGTAGACATTCAAAACTGGAATGCAGAGGACAATTCTTATTCAAAAGTGATAACTAGTCTGTCGCCCTTTTGTTCACTCCGATTTCAATATTGAAAACATTTCTGCTAATATTTCTTTAACGGAATTAGTTTAATCATGAATCAATTAATTTTATTCTTAATCGTTTATGGCAAAAGACGGATAATTATTATCATGGTTAACATTTTAATCCAAATCTTACAAAAACAGAATAGGTTTTGACACCGATATAACGTCGTATTTCATCACTTTTTTATTGTGATCAAAACAGCTTGTTTGTTATTACTGACCATGCAGGGGTGGTGAGGGTTACCTTGTGTCGATTCACCAAGGGAATGATCTATGGGCTGAGCTCTAACAACGCTTTACAATGATGCCATAGCGCCAATTACAGAAGTTCTTCACCAAACTTAATTCGAATCATTAAAACTTCAATTGAAAAGATCATCCTATAAGGAGCTCGAGGCATTCATATTCTTTCCACATATGAGTCGGACACGTAACTGAATATATTTCCTGTTATTATTCGTCTTCTCTATTAAATAAATGTTATATTTTTGAAAGGCACTTAAAGTAAGAGACGACCATTCCTCTAATATTGGACAACATTAATGAAAATCGGCAAGCACATAGGGACTAATAAAGACAACTTAATAAACTTTTACATATGTTGTCTTGTTTCGACAACTCGTTCTGGAGACAGATCAAACGTGAACAGATACGTAGCATACTATTAAGATATTGGAAATGCGGCGTGCTAATACAATGCAAGAGCGTGAAGGGTCACTAAACGGCTTTGAGTTATTGTTTCAAGGACCCAATTCAAAAGATGAACTTGTTTATAGCTCCGATAATATTGTCGGAGCGTACTGAAAATCTGGAAAAAAGGTTATTTCTCGGAAGCATTGATAAAAACAACAAAATTACATAAAAATAGCAGTCTTGGTTTGATTTGGTCTGTACATGAGGGATAATAAAAAAGTGCAACATCTCTCACGCTCCCTTGCACCGGTTTGAGCAATACTTAATTTTCAACACTAAATGTTAAGACATACTTTATACGTTAATACAGGGTTCATGACCAGGGTTGCCCAAACTGTACAAATAAGTAATGTCCCGCTCTAAAGTTATAATAGTATTATGATTGCTATTTTTTGAAATAAGCTTCTTAGAGAATAATCCCATAATACAATCTCAAGATAGGAATGCAAGGTCATATTATACGTAGAGTCACTATTGTTCGCGCATGACTACTAGCAGAATTAAGTACTAGATGCAATAAGCTAATGTTTAATTTTAATGCAGTGTTTCACTTTTTAAAAGTGTTATTATATTTTTTGTAAATACACTTTTTTTAAAGTTTCTGGTCTGTCGGGATCATTGATTCCAACATTATAAAGTGTTGAAAATTGAGTACCGCTCAAGCCGGTGCTATGAATCGTGAGGGATGTTGCACTTTTTCATTGTCCCTCGTGTACAGACTCAATCAAACCGATTCTTCAATATTTACGCTTTCTTTTTGTTAGTCATGCTTCTGAGGAATCACCCTTTCTCCAGATCTTTGTAGACTGTACTTTACTGAAATGTGGTGTCAACTATAGCTCTACTGTGTATATTACTATATTAATACTGAACTATATATCACACTCAGTTGTAACTGAACTTATTATAATCTAATGTAAGCCATCAATATTTTTTACGCTATGTACATGTATATTTCTCTATCATCACCATTGGGAGCAGTATACGTGTTAAATACCCTACAATATATGATCATTAACCTCCGTGTAAAAATATGCAATTGAGTGATATATCATGTTATATCTTATATTTTATAATTTAGATCATCAATATATTTTCATATGTATATACAGTTGTATAAGACAATGTTTAAGGCAATGTTTGAAACCAGTTGCCCATAATCGTGTGAACTATGTGACCTGGGTCAAATATGTCATATAAGTAACTTATAAGATACTTATTCAGTATGCGATTTCGTTTATGGTTATTGCATTGTACTTGTACAAGTTTGTTCTTTCAGAACTTTCTTCTTTAACAATCTATTTGAAATAATCATAATCTTTCAACAAAGAGATTAATAGAGTTTTTTCTATATATATATATTAAATCAGTAAGTCAAGAAGGTCGGGAGATTTTCATAAAGAGACACGCCTATTTCTACATTTACACTTTAGTTACTTTTTTCACACCAAAATCAGTACAGAAATTTGAATTGTTTAAAGTACAAAAAAGTTTATAGGACAGACTAGTTCTATATTTTTATTTAACCTCCCTTCAATACCCTGTTCCAATTAACCATTTTCGATTTGGCTTCAGTTGGAATTCGTGGAAGTCTCTTTATCTTATGTACAAGAATTGGAGCATTAACGAACGATAATCTTATGAGTACGTGGAAACAATCTAAATATATGCTAGACATAAGGCAAAGTATATCAAGGCGACCGACCGGGTGTATAAGAATGATATTGCAAAATTAAGCTTGCAAAAAAAGGGAAAATTGGGGAAATGATAGCAAAATGCTGTGCCAACTTGTATGTTGCAAAAGCTTTGTGTGTAATGATCCCGGAAACTCATTATTGAAAAGAATAAACGTATGTAGCACTTATTTAATGCGCCTATCCTTTTGCGGACATTGGTCAGAATGGACAGTAGTTTCTTACCTGCATTCATGTTCCCTTCGGCGCCTTTCCCGGGACTTTGTACACGCATTTGTCACATGAAAAGTTGTGCAACCTCGGTTGAAATCTAGATCAGGCGAATACAGGGTATATGAAAATTTTAAAGTTTGAACTGGAAAAGACAAAATATGTTTTCCGTCCGTGATTTCATGTAATCGATACAAATTTAGTGTCTATAAATATTTTTTATTTGATATAACTTCACACGATTTTGAATAGGATATAATTTAACTATAGGGGCCTTAGTTTTTCTATAAAATATACACGATTGCTATGTAAATTGAAAAAAAAATGCTGTCAAAAGTTCAAAACAATGAAAGAAAACTTTGAAGGATTATGTCATGTTTTATGATCAAAGTTGACTTGAGTGCATGCAATTCAATAAAAGAAAGAGGATAAATAAAATCAAGCATTGTAAAAACCTGAATTGTATGTGTGTTATATTACTTGAGTTGTACGTACAGTCTTGTAAGGATTGTCTCCCTTTCTGTTTATTTAAATCATCAAGAGCAAATACCCATTCATGCTTATTTCGTGTTTCAACATTGGCAAAGTTATCCTTCCTGAAAAGAATGTGAAATTTATTATTATTATTATTATTATTATTTATTATTATTATTATTATTATTATATAAATGGTTGATAATGGTACTAGAAAAACACACAATTTTCAATCTGTATATGCGGTGCATTCATATTTAACTCCTATAGCGGAGGTTATTTTTGGAAGCCTGTTAAAGAAACATATATGCCAAAACATTAGAAATATGGTGAATATTTGTCTACTTTTTATACTTTTATGAGTAAAATAGTTTTGTAATTCTAAGTTTAAAGTGTTTGAATCCGAAAAATAAATGAAAATGTATAAAAAAACATTAGTTACTTTATTCAAATATATAAATAGAAATAAATAAATATGTTTTGTATGCCACGTTTTTATTAGAAGTCATGGGGATTAAACATGTTTACAAAAGTGGATAAACCATCTTTATGCATTACTTATTAAAAGGAACATTATGCCTAAGCAAATTTTAATTTTATTTCCCAAAAGCATGTTAATTTTTTAATTTAGGTGCCCTGTTATACTTTTATTACTAAATGGCCAATTACCCGAAACATCTTTTTCTTCTGTTGCTTATATTAGCAATAAGTACAAATATATCCAAGTAAAAATACTAGTTTGATAACAGTTTGCTACTTTTGTGACAAATTATTTCTCATTATCACTACATGTACTTTTCTCATGTGATAAGCTTCTAACATGCTCTTAATCCATGATTCAAATGCTGTGACCCTTGTTGGCTTTCAAGAGAGTCTAGGCACGACCTTGACTATGGAAATATGTGAGGTGATACCTTTTAAGGTATAGGGACGGTGAATATGAATTTTGAAGAAATGAGAAAAAGAGGGTGGTTTATAATTAATTGTTCCCGTATTCTACCTAAAGAATATTGTTTGCGCTAGATTAAAACAAATAATGTCAACAACCTATTGGTCTTCATTCCCTTTTCATCACTATTTTATTGGGTTCCATGCTAGACTTTCGTCTACAAAGAGAGAAACGAGAGTATTTACATACAAAGTATGACACAGCCTTTGCCGGATGACTCCGCCTCTTTTGCATATCGACACCTGAAATGTTTACGCCTTTCATGATAACATTTTTATCGCAACAATTTATGACAAAGTTATATACATTGTACAATCGTAGACTAGATCAATTACGTTACATAAAGAAAACCCAAATCGTCAAAATTGAAAATGTCGCAGACTCAGTAATATTGAGTGTGTTTATGGAAGGTAGCAATAAATGCAATCAACAGTCCACACCACCTAGCATCGGTTTAAGCGAAACTAAAAATAAAAAACATGAGCATGTTGTTAAATTAAAAATTATTTAAAAATACCCACATATGTATTCATACAAATAATGTAGAATACTTGGTTCTTACATTTTATTATACCTTTAAACTTTCGGATGATCTTTCCTATCCAATACTGCCAGCCGATTAGAGACATTTTGGTAGCCTTATGAGGAACACCTGTTCACCTGTGAAATAAAAAATGATAAACAAGATCAACAAGGAAAAGCGGCGTTCAATGAACGCAACCCCAACACGACACAGCAAAAAATAAGTCAATAAAACCAAGATTGTTTCTAAAACGGATCACTTTTTGATTTCTCCTTATTTATATTTACGGAAGCGTCCTGGTGCCAGTTTAACATGTTCTATAAAAATTATAACTCCTACATTATATGGAGATAAAAAAAGCCTTTATAAGTCCTACGTAGGACTTTATAACTCCTACTACTTAGGGGATAAAAAAAACCTAATTAGGAGTTTTTAAGTCTTACGTAGGACTTTGTAACTCCTACGTAGGAGATAAAAAGCCAAATAAGGAGTTAATAACTCCTACGTAGGACTTTTAAGTTTTACGTAGAACTTTATAACTCCTACGTAGGACTTTGTAACACCTACACAGGAGATTAAAAATGCCTAATTTATAGAACATGTTAAATTGGCACCAGGACGCTTCCGTATAAATTACTTACAATGACAGAAAATAAAAAAAGTCATTTAAATAATTTTTTGTGTTTGAAGCATACGTTCATATCAATTGGACTATTTTTTTTTATTTTATTTTTTTTTTCATTTTTCATTTCAATATAGAAAACTGTTCATACTTAAAAGAACTCTTATGTTCGGTTGTGAGGGTTTTTTTTCTGAAATATCAGAACTGGGCACAATTTCTCAAGATAAGTGTTCCATTTCACGTTAGTCTAGATCAATGAAATGTGTGCAAAATTTCAAATCATCGTCACTACTTTTTTTTTATAGAAAAATTATTCTCATTGCGAAAAATGACCCAAATTGAACAGCGTTGCAATTTACTTCTGAGAATATCTTTCTGTTTTAAGTGTTCCACTCGATCTATGTCAATAATTCAGAAGTATATCGTAGACAAAGTGAAAACAATACAACTACTATTGGTTCTTCATTTGTTCTTAAACAAAATTAGGTTGATATTATTTACTGTACAATAAACCTTTGACGCATTGTCATTTAATAAAGATATTGTATTTAATATTGTATCACTAAAGTTGATTTGTTATATGTCACCTGTTTTCTTGGGCCTGGAAATTTTCCTGGGGTCTTCTGGTCAGTTCCATGCTATATCAACGCGTTGTTTGCTTTAAAACTTATTTTGGGCGTCAACTTTTAATTATAATGCTGAACTTGACATTACTAGACATTCGCGTCGCTCTGACAGCACTAGAACATTGCTGAAAACAACAACATAAATAAAATTATAAAAAACGACAAACATAACAACACTGCAAGGTCAATGCTTACCCGGCTATGCATGTATTTCAATTTTATATAGATTTATATATTATAATCGTGCACAAAAGTAACATACAAGTGAGTTTTCTAGATTATAATATATATATAAAACCGTGTTCGAAACTTTCAGAAAGATCACTTGTCAGTATTCTTGATACACATGGCAGGGCTCGGGCGCTACCTATAATCAAAGCAGTTCGACCAGAAAACGCGAAACCTTACGCATCTGCAAATGTTTCTAAATTCAAAATTTCACGATTTTCGTGTTTTAATGTTGAATTGAACTTAAGCCGGTGCTAGGAGGCGTAGACTGTAACTTGCATTTTCCAGTACCGTCCATGAACAGACTCAATCAAACCAGGCCTGAAAATTTTTCATTTTTTGTCGTTTTGTAGTTCTTTAGGGATTTTATTTTTCTCTATTTTACAATGGTAATCACATGTGCAGTGTCTCTAAATCGTTGGAGGACCACATTGCGTCGACTACATCCAAACAATAGTAAGAGCCCGAACACTGCCCTGTCAGAGATTGTTCACTGACCATGACGCCTTTTTTACCAATATGCCGTACCCGTCATTAACTTTTACATTGTTTCGTTACAAAAACAAAATTAATAGAGATTTAAGTGGTACTTATCTTTCCTACACTATGCTACTATCCCTTAACGATTCTCCTCAAAAGCTTTGATACGACAATATATTGTTAAAAGAAAAATCGTATGTAGTTTGTTGTTATTGTTATATTAATGCTATATTATAACAAATATTATATCTAACTTGATGGTTATATGACTTGTTTATAATATATATTTGTGTATTTTACTTTGATTGCATTCGTCAAATCATACTGAACCAATCTGGTTGCTTGCAACATTGAATCATTGAATTGATATGTTGAAATTCTACCCATCAGTTTTTCCAAAATGAATTGATATGTTGAAATTCTACCCATCAGTTTTTCCAAAATATGTTTCGCTAAAAAATAATATAAGAATAGTGTAAAATATGTTCTAATTGTAATGATAGACAATAGATGAAAGTATGAAATATGATATTTTGTAATTATCACAATGTTGATGGGATCGTGACCTTTAAGGTTATTATTTTTACCTATGTTACCCAGTATGACAGAGGTTCATTTGAAAGATAATACAGTATAGAAAGTCATTTTAGAATTAAGTTATATAAGATACTTAAATGCTAACACTAGCCTCCTTTATCCAGAAAATTATTCAATATTAAAGATATAAATATGTTGCGAATGATTTAAATTTGAATCATAATTGAAAACCCTAAAGTATCAAAATAAAAAAAAGAACTTAATCAACAACACCAGTAATGTTATTCATGAGTACACAACTTATCTGCTATTTTAATTATGGAAACTGACTGACGTCTATAACAAAAAACTAAGCCAGTGTTTGGCTATTCTCTCATGAATAGGTCATAGCAGATTTCTTTTCATGATGAAGAAACAAAAACAATTGGAAACCTAAATCAACACAAGAAGGGATTCTTGCGAGCGTTCATGTTCGTGCGTGTGACACTTATGAAGTTGTAAGTAATAACACCTGAAGTTCCTTTGCCCCGACATCTCTAAGGTGATATTCTGTCTATAATTGTGAAACGCCAATGAACTCATAACGCAACAAACTGTTCTTTATTATATATACGTTTTTCCAACGCTGTAATGAACATATATAGAATAGAACAAAGAAACTGCATTGATATGATAATTGTATTTACCAAAAACGTGTTAAACATATTTTTGTTTCTTAAAATCACATATGCCCCTATATTGCCATTTTCTTTGTTTGTTATATTTAGGTCAATGTCCGTTCAATCATTTTCTATGACCTACTTTGATGTTTGCCTTTAACTTGCCATTTACTGACGATATGGTCAGTCGTGATTTCCATATATTTGTTTTCTACACTAAAAGATGGAAAAAAAACAATAATTTCGTTTTAATATTTTTGTTTAAAGTTGAAGAACAATGGCGAAGCGCATCGATATGTAAGAGATATTGCGGCACTTGACACGTCCATTTTGCGCGTACTTCTTTAGAGTGTCTACCAAAATGTATTTTCATCATCAGATATCTGATTAAATCTTTTTTATACACTAAACAAGATTTTAATAACTAACTTTCATAAAAGCGTCTATGTTTCCAGCCAAACCTTTGGAGAAAGATTTCTTAAATCAATTAAATGTAATTAACAGACATTGAAAATTTCAAGATGATGTATAATAAAAATTGTGATAAAAATATTTTACCCATTTTACACAGTTCTTCTTAACATTTCCAACACTTTCTTCCATGAGTCTTAATTGTTCCTTGTCCTCTAATCTTAGCATTTAGCTTCTTATTGACTCGATGCGGAAATTAAAGTTCGACTTCCATTTATCAACCAATGAAAAACCGCTGACTATTTCAAACTGAAAGGTAGGTAAATTTTAGGGGAAGTCCCGACTACCTTACCAGATAAGTATAGCGTTTTGGGTTTTTACTTTGCTGAATTTGCATAAAATAACAGTCTTGTTTTCAAAATATTTCCTTATAAATTTGTGCTTTAACATTTTGTGTAAAGTTATAACATTTTAAATGTGTTTATCCAATGGTGTATAAATTTTCACTTTTTCATGTTATGGTTTCATGATTCGTTATTTGTATGGAAAAACTGGTTATAATTGAAGTAGCATATTCTAAATAAGAGTTATTCTCTAAACTCAATTACTGAAACTGTTGGACGAACTGATATATACTCATGTTAAACATTATTCAAATATTAAAATTTTAACTACATGACCATTAAATGTATTTATTCAATGTGGGATTTATAATAAATGAACTTTGTTTCTATACTTTGAAGTAGATTTGTAATTAACCGTCACAGAAGTGATTATAAATTGAATACACATGTTTGTAAACTATAAGGCCCAAATTGGTTACATCCTTTAATACAAAATGTAAAGTTATTTTTATTTTTACCTGGTCACTGACCATTTACACTTGGATAGGTATAATGTCCCATCAACGTGATATATAAGATAACATACAGTTAAGCATATATCATTTCTTATTTTCAGATTTGGGCGCATTGCATTTTATTGATATCTGACAAAAGTTGGACACTCACTTTAAATGCAATATAACTACTGCATGAAATACAATAATAGTTTTTTATCAATTAGAGTGAGATAAGAATCACTAAAGAAAGCCCAACGCGGCAAAATTGAAAATGTTGCAGGCTCGGTTTGATTGAGCCTGTTCATGGACGGTACTGTCAAGTGCAAGTTACCGTCCACGTCCCCTAGCACCGGCTTAAGAAGAATTCAACATTTAACATGAACTGGTAAAATTTAGAATTTTGAAACATCCGCAGATGTGTTCATATGGCGGTTATCATTGAACCTTCAATGTGGCACGTTAGTGCCATTCCATGAAAAGCGGCATATGGTCCCCAAGTAAAAAAAATGCGGGTGCCCTAAACGAGAAAACAATGGGCGGAACTAAATAAAATGGAATTTTGAAAGGGGATCTGAGGTTATGAAGCCTGCATATCACATATATAACGTCAAAAGACAAATTTAAAAAGCAGGCCTCATATCCTAAGGGTGATTCAACAGTATTCAAGTGAGGAATACTGTAACCACCCAACAAGAAAGATGCCAAATAGATAGAACTAAAATACCACAAGCACAACAATAATGTCGTGCTGAACGATCTTTAAGGATCGGAAATATGTTTAGGTTTTGCGACTTCGTAAAGTGTTATATCTTTTTTCTGTCTTCATATGCGATAAAGAAATATACTTCTTAACTTTTTGCTAAGCACCATAAGTTAATTTTTATATTATCACAAGTATAAAACAGATTTATTTCCAATTTTTGAAAATTCTGATTCAGCAATGTTTTCAGATGGTCCCCATTGATTTATCTGTTACAACTCATCTTGGTTGCATGAAAAGCATGCACCCCGATATTTTCATGTTTATGATGAGGTGTACAATCACACGTCTTTTGTTATACGGCTTATTGTTATTCATAGGCTTACATTTCTTACATCTGTCTCTTTGATATGGCAAATGCTAACATTAGGCGGAGTTTCAGAGAAGCGGGGTTTTGGAGAGTTGTAAGCATGATGCAGCAGGGAGCAACTTTCTGCCAACACCACATCATCATCCCCAGAGCCTGGGAGAGATACCGGCTAGATGGTTCATCCGCCAGGAGGCATGCTGGAGGTCGCAACACCAGCTCAGGATCGGTTTTTGGTCCTTCAGGCACGTCGACTAATGTTTTGGACAGCAACTTCTCTCTCTTCGAAATAACCTTGCTAATGCTGCGGGGTCCGTGTTTCCGCACACGGTACATTGAAGGCTGTTTGAAGGAATTTGCGGTCATACGTATCCCCTTGACGCGTCAACATCGCCAGGCTCGTTTGGAATGGACCATAAAGAATACACGGTGGGCCATGCAACACTGGAGACACTTTCTGTTTACTGATGAGTCAAGGTTCTGCCTACACTTCAGAGATAGGCGTGCTAGAGTCTGGAGAAGACAAGGTGAACGGTTTCAGACTGCAAATTTTGCTGAGCATGACCGCTACGGAGGTGGTCAGTTATGGTGTTTGGAAGGCATCAGCTGGGATGGACGAACCGACCTGGTTGTGCTAAATAGAGGCACGGACGACATCTTAAACAACCAGGTTACTAGTATATGCTGGAGCAGTCGGCGATCGGTACATTCTAATAACGATAATGCTCGACCCATAAGGCCAGGGTGGTCCAGGACTACATGACTTAAATCCAAAATTACACGTGTGGAATTGAGTTGCAGGTTAGAATTTCAAATCGTCAGCTGCAACCCAGAACCATCCAGGAGCTTGGAGCCATGTTTGTCCAAGAACGAGCATCATGACCAGTTAGAACGATCATACACTTAAAGAAAGTATGAGAAGGCGCCGCCAAGCTGTCATTGATAGAAACACATCATAGACACGGTATTAAGTCTAAAACTGTAAACAAAAATTCCAATTTAACAAATTTGGAAAACACGCTGCATGTTCTGAAATCTTCAAAGAGGGAGTCATCCTCTTCTCTAGTACACAATCAGTGTAAAAAAACAAGGATAAAGATCAACAAGGCAAAGGCAACGTTCACAGGACGCAGCCCCTCGACACACCCAAGTAGGGCACCCAGAAGACACAAAACCAAAACCTGGAGTGGACATAAGGGCGTTGAAAGGAGAGGGACATGTAATGTGTGAAATAATATAAACTAAAACGGGCCCATATGGGAATTAAAGGGATAAGGGCTGTAAAACTCATTTATAAGGTTAAATTTGTCCTTGAGTTGAATTGATAAAACGGTAAAACAACATTTAAAACATTTCGCACGGCAAATAGTCACACTCAAACATATGGTGCTTAGCAAAAGTTGAGTAGTTACCTTCAGTACTAGATAAATTAAACTCTTTGAATAAAATAATATTATTTACTCGTTCAATAAATTCAGTATTGAACCGCCTCCGTTTATTTGATATATAAATACAATATACGTAAACATACATGTTAACATACATGATAAAGTAAGTTTTTCATTAAAACAATTACAATGACAGGAATACACAGAATGTTCAACAGGGAGCAAAACAGTCAGACCTTTGGTGATTTAGGGCTCTCCTGGGTTTATAAACCTTTCAAAAAGGCTAACAAATGTCCTCTGTTTGGTTATACTTATCTACATATACTAATCTAAATGTAAGTCAATTTTTCTGACCTCTTTGTAAGTTGTATCAAGTCAAGCCTTTCCTCAAATAAAGCCATTTGGGAAGAATCGGTGTGTCTTTATGATAGAATCCTTGATTGTAAGCAAGGTTTTAGTCTGGTACATTTACTACACTAAATGCAAATGACAAAATACCCATGTCTTCATCAAGTACTCTTTTAAGGCATATAGACAACACTTTCTATAAAACGACTTTATAAAACATCACAATAATTAAAACTTTGACAACGAGGAGAAAAACTTCCTTTCGCAATGACCCAAGGTTTACCATCCGGAATTATAATAGTATCCTTAAATAAAAGTTAAAACGTCTTTTGAATAACTTGCTAGGTCGCATTTAATTGATGACATCTATGCTGAATTTAATGACTAATTTCAAGATGTCATCGGCTAAATTATTTGGTTCGTTCATACCATCAAAAGATGGTGGCGAACCAATTCGTAAAATAGTACAAAGATTGCAAAATAACAAATACGTCTTTATTTTGTATAAGCACTTGAAGAAAATACAAGAAAGATAAATCAGCAGGAGGAATTAATACAACATGATTAGTGTGCTCTGAAATAACTTGGTGAAAAAGATACCGACACGACTCCTGATTTGTTGGATACAAAGAGCAAATGATACCATAATGATGAGATGAACATTTAATTGAATGATACTATTGATTAGTATTGAATGCCCAAGGCATGAAATGTATATACAGTGTAAGAGTTATTTTATGATATCAATTAAATTTTTAAGTGTATGAAGATCATACGGTATGTACATGTAATGCATATAAAACAGTGTAAGCGTTTATTTTATTATATCAATTAAATGTCTACGGACATGCAACATTACAGACAAAAGGGAAATCGTTAAGACTTTCCTGCAATTCCGATTGTTTAAAAGTCTCTCCTTGTTAAGTGCATGATATCATCATAAGCGATACATCACAAAATGTCAGAAACCTTGGCTTAATTTTCAACACTGAATCTATGACAACTTAAGAAGAATAGTAAAGTACAGCGAATTTTTCAAAGCTGTCACAAAGCAAATGACATCAATATGTTTGAGAGAAGAAATTTCAAAAATTATAGGTCTCTTTCATTTTGTGTTTAGTATTGTGGGTTTGCTATAAACAGCCACCCGTTCATATTCTAATTGCTTATACTAGTAGTTTACTAGTATAACTAGGGGTCATTTATTCTATTGTTGATAATTTAACACTGTACAGTTAAAACCTCTGCCTTTGATGACGTTCACGAGATTGAACTATCATTATTTAAATCAGAACCATGAATCCTGCCTAAAACAATTTTAGGGTGTATGTTGCAATTACCATTTCAGCAAATAAACAGAATCAAACCGATCAAACTGCTTTCACAACTATCGAATCTTCAGGTAACGAAGAAAACTTTTTTAAACATCTTGGTTTTAAAAGTATATGTGTCTCTATGATCGATGAATAAAATAAGTAGTTTTGTAGTTCAGAATACAACTTGTAAAATACAATTAATAAACGCCATCAAAAATGTAATGAAAACTTCCATTTTAAAAGTCATTGGTTAAATAAGGAATGAATACGTTATGTATTATGCATTTTACACGTGGCTCACAGTGTACTATTGTATGTGCAACAGTAAAATCAACCTCACAGTTGATGTAACATCGATATTTTTACGAATCGCTTATAGTCTCAGACGCTATCTTTCGTGCTATCTCAAGTACACTGCACCGAAGAATGTACCATTGCCTCTTAAATTGATATGCACTTCCGGGTAATGGTTCACCACTGTGAGATAATCATCAATCTCCAAGAAAAACAGAGCCGTCATAGAGCACGTGTTGTTCAAGCTTCTATCTGCATTAGCGACACCAGCAATGCAAAAATGTTCTTGTATGATGATGTCACCACCCTTTATACTTCTTTTCTGTACAAGTTTCATAACTTCTTCAGGTCTGCAGTCTTCAAATAAAATCTGTGCGTACACTAGGTATAACCCTTTCTTTTTAGCGATAAATCGGCCATCTATAGCACGAAAGGGATTGGATTTTTCTGTAATAAATGATGCTAGCTTAAAAACATCAAGGGTTTGCTCTGAAAAAGAAAAGAAAGCATTTAAATTTAAAAATACGCTTATTTTAGGTTCCACAGTTCCATCCGTTTTATCTATAGATCATTCAAATATTTCAAAAGGAAGGCAAAGATATCCTGATTCAAATTTTTATTTTTTAAGTGTTAAGGTACAAAGAGATACTTATTTGTTACTATTTTGGTTGTCGTATAAAAGACAGCAATAATGAATAGGCAGCAAGTTTATCAAGATTTTTATTTTAAAATTTGATTGTTTTATCAAGATGATAACGAAACGTTTCCTACTCATTTCAGCCGATCTCTGTCCTGTATGTCTTCCGAGTGGACAATTAGCCCTTCCACTTGCTAGTCCTTCTCTTAAAACATAGTGTGCCGCTGGGGTCTGTAAAGTATATCATAATTTTGATAAAATTATATTAATTTGATGTATTTATATTATTTATTTCTTGGGGTTAACGAGGCACCAACACTGTCATATGGCGACTGTGTTCCGCTTTCCTGGTGAACAAAGGCGGCAAATCCCCCTGTATACATTATTTTGAGGACAAAAACTGGCACCTGACTAGACCCACCGACGTTCCGTTAGCTAGCTAGATAATTTTCTCACATGAAAAGATCCGAAGACACTGGCGAGACTTGAATCAATGAGAGGCAAGTGGTCAGAATGCAACGATCTTAACCACCAGACCAAGACGCCCCTATATCTGTTCAATTCAGTTCAGTCATCGATTAAGTAAGATCTTGGCTCATTTCATGAAAGCTTTGTTTTTCAGTAGCCATTGGCTTAAATTAATGCTGTCTTCCAAAGATAATAATGCAGAAGCAAATATTTGTATCTTTCGGTTTGTTTGTATCTTTTCGTCCAGATTGGAGCCAATAATAAAAATACTTCATTAAAAGTATCATCATATCATAATTAATCAGACGGGTATTAAACTATTTTTGAACTTTTGTGACCAAAGAAAGACTTCTTGATCACAAAAAATGTAAATTTCGAAAGTCATTTTCATGAATTCCAAAGAGAAACCTCATTTAAACTACAGGAGGAACTAACAATCTTAAAACAAGATCAAATGAAAGTGTCATTTTGTGACAAATTGGTTGTGGTGAACAATTATTTCTTCAATTAAGTAAATATTTATCATACAGATAAAATTAAACTCGTTTATACAAACGAATGATGGGTCTATAATGTATAAAATGAGAGATATTTTAAAAAGAAAGAGTATTATTACAAGCATACAATAGTTAACATGACAGCAATACTTTCTTGAAAATAATACGGATATTCCTTAGTTTAGTACAAAGCTGTCCAACTCACTTGAAGACCTTACTAGGTATATTGAAATTACAGATATTCGTACTTAAAAACTACAATGTATATAAACAATGATAAATGACTTGGATCTGATGATGTTCTGGAATAAAATGTGGCATTATATAGATCGATCTATAAGATATCTCACAATGTAATCAGTAAAATAAGTCATTCCCTGCATTCCAAAAATAGTAAACCTAAACAGTTTTTAAAGATTCGGTGACTTATTTTGTGACATTTAAAACTTACAAAGATTGGACTGGTAAAAACCTTGTAAAAACCCTCTTACTGGAAAAAGCTATGAAATCTTAGTCTGAATAATTGCACCAGTTTGACTAGAAAATATATTTTATAACATATCTTTTAGTAAAATTATGACAACTTTCAATTTTCAAAAAAACATCATTAATGTTTTCATTTTATGTCTGTATAAGTATATTGTATTTCCTAGTAAGTATAAGGACCACATTGGAAATAAAGCTCAAGACTTTCAGGGACAATCCGAGGTTATTGCACACTACTCTTTACATGCATTTTCTTCAATAGTAAAATGTTCCATATGCATAAAATATCTAGTCTAACGCTTATAAAATGTGATGTTTAATTTAGTCTTGTTTCAGTTGTAACATTTGGGTTTTGAAATGTTTTTTAACTTCGTGTGATACAGTTATTTGTGACAAACTATCAAAGTACCTTTAAACCAATTTATTTATTTACTTTTATCATAAAAAATGTGTAAGTGAAGAAACTAAACTAATGACTATTAACCGAAATTTTACTTGTTACTAAAAGAGAAAGGGGAAGTGTTTTATATCTTGATAATTTATATGTATATATATGTGTATACAAGGTTAAATTATCTCATTTGTACAATTATTACATTTGTACTCGATGGTGCAATCCTGAAAATTTAAAGCAAATCTGCTGCTTTGATTCGGTATGAAAGTGTAGGAATTGTTTATATACATGTAGTTTGTTAATATTGAATAAAATATAAATATTTTCATCAGTTATACTTTTTGTTTTTTCTTCTTGTTTCCACCTTTCCCTTTCGTTCTTTTCTTCTTTTTCTTTTCCGTCTCACTTCTTCTTCTCCTTAACTGACTTATATGTGTGAAAGCATTTGCAATGGTATGCATATTTGTTTTCTGAAATATAAGTTTTAATCTAAACTAATATACTGCATGTTTGACTTTTACAAACACTAACTACTACAAACTATAACAAACCGAATCCTACTTTCTCTTTCGATGACAGATAACAAATGTGTTTTTGTGCAATGTTAAATCACACAAGAGTTAGTAAGTTGATTTTCTCTTTATACCCCACGTAATAATTTTGTATTGATAGCAATAGTTTAAACCGTTTGAATGATCTCAATATTTCATTATTTAGTAAACCCATCTGCTATATTCGGCAGATTTAATCGGTGGCGGAGAGAGTGCGTGGACAGTAGTATCTATTATAACAATTATGTCTATGAATAAACTCAATCAAACAGAAACTGTTCCATTTTATTAAATCGTATAGGACAATCTTTAAGATTGCAATTATCAATATCATTTAATTCAGTGTATAAATATATACAGATATGATACAGATATAAAATGTTCAATGCATTGCGTTGCAATAAGTTATAAGAGTTATCTGGTCTTACTTGTGAAATAGATCCCTGAGCTGCCACAACTTCATGAAATCCGTTGTTCCCATGTAACGAAACCTCACTTTCAGTTGAATCCTTATCATGCTTTACTGTTTTGTTAATCGAAACAAGTAAACATGTACAATAAACACAACATGTTACACCAATTAAAACTGTGACCAAACAAACTGTACATGTATACATAAACCAGGTATAGCACGTGCATTGTGCAGGTTTATCACTATCTGCACTGTCCGTCTGTCCACAATGTGCACACTTCATACCTCCCATTTCATTATGACAATAGATAATCGAAACCAAATTCCAAGAACATGTATTAAATTAAATATTTAGAATCGATTATGCTAAAACATGTCTACGTGACCCAAATTCAAGTACGTAAACTGTATTGAATTTACTACCTCTTTTGTGTATATATTATATTTCGTTTACATATATTTAATCATATACCACTACATTGATATTCTTTGACTTTACTTAAATCCTTCCTTCAACATTTAAAGAGGTCAACTCAATGTAAAATTATTTTGTACAATTGTTATGATACAATTTGACGATAAAGATTAAGATATTTATAGAATGTAGTGTCTTTGTATTCTTGTTATATTACAAAGTTAATGTAGCGTGTTTCTATGCAAATCGTTATGTAGATAGATATATCGGGTATATTACGTTTCATATGCTTAGAAATTGTCAAACTAGAAGCCGAAATTGTTCAAGAAATCTCGCCCCAACTCTGCTGTATTTCTTAAATGGACTTGTACCGTTTTAATTAGAACAAAATAGTTATTAATCTTGTGTATATAGACATTTGAAGTTTTGTCAGCCAACAGTAAAGAGCCTTGTCAGACTACATAGATGTGCAGACTGGTCTGTCCACTTACTGATGGCAAAGGTCAGTGACTTTCTCCATATGCTTAGTACTTCTCTTGCAATTGTCAACATTCTTTTCAAAAAAGTTAAAGTAAGCACTAATGAAGTCACAATTGCAAGTTGGTGTTTCTAACTCTAATAAACAAGCAAAGTAAAATGTTGGTTGGTTATTCGCTGCAGTTTTTTATTATAATTACTTTTTTAATTTTTGTTATATACGTTAATATTTGAAGATAACCAATAGATATACTTAGTATTCACATCACATGGCCAATTGGATCAACTGCTCATCTTCCCACTCGTTTCAAATATAGTTAGATAGATGTTATGCCATAGCATCAACATTGCCAAATTCCAATGACCCAAATGTTAAAAGTCCTATATTGATCAAGACGACTAACATTTGCTACAAGGTTTAGACAGTTTAACTGTAACAAAACATACACTTTATACAATTGATAAATACGAGCCCGTACACAACCTCAAACAAGATAATATAAATAATTGAAAACAAAATAGACACTTTATTATACACGTATAGAAGTATTTATGTAACCGGTACATTTGTTAAAAGTATGAGATCACTGTAATATAATGCAAAGTATAGCAAACATTGTCAATAAATGGCATATTTACAATATTTACAATACATTTATATCAAAACCAATGTCGAAATGTGCTTTGTGCCAATACTCTCTCCTTTTTATGTGAACATAGTGTATAAAAACTTTATTAAAACCACACGCATACACAAACGTCAATTCCTAGTCACCGCAATAAAATGGCTCCAAAGAATGTATTGTTTGTTGAGAAATTTAAGTTCAAACTGTGTCAAACAACTCAATTGTCAGATAATCTCCCTTGTCTAAGAAATAAAGAGCTGTAATTGAGCATGTGCTGTTAACATTTTTGTCAATGTTACGTAATCCCCTGACGCATGCGTACTCCTGTATTACTCGATCATTGCTCTTCTTCCGGTGTACAACTTTCATTTGCTGAAATTCTTTGGAATCGTAGAATGATACTTATAATGTATACACATTACATTGTAATCTTTTATCATGATAGCAAATATAAACCTTCTTAATACATGGACTATTAGATGCGCAATGACATACAAATCCCTTATATTGTATAGACATGTATGGCCGGCCTCGAGGCAACCTTCCTACACTGTATACACATGCATGGCTGAGAAATAGAACATTTCCTACAATGTATAGTCATGTATGGCTTTTCTTATATTGTATAATGAGACCAATTCTCTTATTGTATTGACATGTATGGCTGCCCCTTTATTGGATATAAACGTATGGCTGACATTGAAATAAATTTCGTACATTGTATAAAGATGTTTGGCTGACATGGCCTCTGAGACAAATTCCCTAATACAAACTATATCCTTTTATATTTCTGTAATAATCAGAATGTTTCTACTTATATTTCAGTAAGGTATGTGTCGAGCTACGTTAACAAAAAAACAAACAAACAAAAAACTCCCCCAAAACAACAGTGAATTTTAAGCGTCACGGATGACAATCTGTCAATTATATATCGGATAGTGTACAGTTATCGTCTAATAGATTATTTATTAATACTGAAATAAGATACCATTGACAAACTGACACGACGTGCATTTTAGTTACATAGTTACATTTTTTTCTGACATTTAGATATTTCACATTAATGTACCGGCTAGAAACAATGTTACTAGATCTTACACTATTCATTTATTCTAGGCATAACACAGGTGACCAGATATTAAAAACTAGATGTTCAAAACGAAGAAAAATTATCGTTTTTTTTATAATTTTGGCATACGGTATAAGTTATTTTGTAAAACTTCATTTATATTTAATTCATGCTTATGCTTGCCTGGGCATAAACAAGATATGTTCCTTTCTTCTTAGTTACAAACTTTCCATCTTTAATCCCCTTGAAAGGAGAATTCTTTTTCTGCAAAGATGGTGACTCCTCAAATACATTGAGGCTCTCGCTAAAAACGATAATAAAGAAATGTACATGATTTGCAAAGCTGTCTCTCCAGAAGCTGGAAAAACTACAGGTCAGGTTTAATTTAGTTTGCCCATGAGACTTTTACCTTTTTACTAATGATGTCAATACTTTTGAGGAATGTGTTTTTTTTTCTTGTTTTTTTTGGATAATAATTGTCCGTTAACTAATAACATTTTTATTGTTTTGTGTTTTTGACATTTTAGATACTGTTACTTTTTTAATACATCAAATCCCTCGTGACATACGTTTTAAATGTTTTCTTTCAAACATTGTACACAGAACAACCATTTCTTGGCAGATGACTCACAACTCTATCTATCCTTCAAACCAGTGACTAATATTTCAATTAAAGAGAATATAAACCGTATTAAAGATGGCTTGAAGATATTGTAAGTTGGATGAATGCTAACATGCTGAAGCTAAACGGCGACAAAACAGAGTTGATCATCTTCTCATCTGAACATAACGCACAACGTATTTCAGATGTTACAGTAACAGTCGACGGTTCGAAAATTTGCCAATCATCAAGTGTGCGCAATCTTGGTGTATTTCTTGACTCGAACATGAGGATGGAACAACATGTAAATAATGTCTGTAGGAACTGTTATGCACAATTAAGTCAAATCGGTCACATCAGACCCTATCTTACTGTTAAAGCAACCAAATCTCTAGTAAATTCACTTGTTACCTCTAGGTTAGACTACTGTAATGCACTGTTATATAGAGTCTCTAAGCAGTCAAAGACCAAGTTACAACATGTTCAAAATACAGCAGCTAGAATTGTGACCAAAACACTCAAATATGACCACATAACACCTATCTTACGTGAACTTCACTGGCTTCCGGTAGAGAATCGGGTCGAATATGAAATTTTGACTTATACATATAAATCCCTCATCGATCAATCACCAGCCTATATAAAAGACATGATAGACGTGTACATCCCAGTCGGGAATCTGAGGTCCCAGAATAACTCAATGACATTAGTTGTGCCTAAATCTCGGACAGTACGATATGGTGACAGGTGCTTCCAGACAGCCGCAGCGAAATTATGGAACGCGTTACCACCTGACATTAGAGACTGTAATACCTTGCCAAGTTTTAAGAGAGCTCTCAAAACACATTATTTCATAAAGTTCTATGGACGCTAGGTTCATAAATCAACATACATGTACTACTTTTGCTATATTATCATTGTAAATTTTAATTGAGCCTTGATTTTAAACTAAATGTGTCTGTATTTCTTACCATCCTTTACTGGTTTTAGATTATCATTATTGTTTAATAGGTTTACTTAATTAATATTGTACATTATGTCTTATATATATATATGATTATGTTTTATCGGATTTATGTAAAGCACTCTTGAACATTTATTATTTATGAAAAGAGTGCTATAGAAATGTGGTATATAATAATAATAATTATAATAATAATAATTTTATTATGTCAATTTAATGTCTACGGACATGCAACACTACAGACAAAAGGAAAATCGTTAAGATTTTCCTGCAATTCCGATTGTTTAAAAGTCTCTCCTTGTTAAGTGCATGATATCATAAGCGATACATCACAAAATGTCAGAAACATTGGCTTAATTTTCAACACTACATCTATGCTCTCGAGAGACGACAACTTAAGAAGAATAGTAAAGTACAGGCAATGTTTTATAGCTGTCACAAAGCAAATCACATCAATATGTTTGAGAGAAGACATTTAAAAAAATATAGGTCTCTTTCATTTTCTATTTAGTATTGTGTGGTTGCTTTAAAAGGCCACTCGTTCATATTCTAATTGCTTATACTAGTAGTTTATCACTAGGGTTCATTTATTCTATTGTTGATAATTTAACACTGTACAATTAAAACCTCTGCCTTTGACGACGTTCACGAGATTGAACTATCATTATTTAAATCAGAACCATGAATCCTGCCTAAAACAATTTAAGGGTGTATATTGCAATTACCATTTCAGCAAATGAACAGAATCAAACCGATCAAACTACTTTCACAACTATCGAATCTTCAGGTAACGAAGAAAACTTTTTAAACATCTTGGTTTTTCATAGTCTATTAATATGTGTCTCTTTGAACAATGAGTAAAATGAGAAGTTTGTAGTTCAGAATACAACTTGTAAAAATATAATTAATAAACGCTTTCACGTGTAATGAAAACTTCCATTTTAAAAGTCATTGGTTAAATAATGAATGAATACGTTATGTATTATACATTTTACAAATAGTTCACAGTGTTCTACTGTATGTGTAACAGTAAAATCAACCTCACTGTAAATTAATGTAACTCACTTATATTCTCAGACGCTATATTTCGTGCTATCTCAAGTACACTGCACCGAAGAATGTAGCATTCCCTCCTAAATTGAGGTGCACGCCCGCGTAATGGTTATTCACTGTGAGATAATCATTAACCTCCAAGAAAAACAGAGCCGTCATAGCGCACGTGTTGTGCAAGCGTATGTCTGCATTAGCGACACCTGCAATGCAAAGATGTTCTTGTATAATGATATCAGCACCCTTTATACTTCTTCTTTTCTGTGCAATGTTCATACCTGCCTGAAATCTGCAGTCTTCAAATAAAATCTGTGCGTACACTAGGTATAACCCTTTCTTTTTAGCGATAAATCGGCCATCTATAGCATTAAAGGGATTGGATTTTGCTGTAATGAATGATGCTAGCTTGAAAACATCAAGGGTTTGCTCTGGAAAAGAAAATAAAACATTTAATTTTATTATAGGTTCCACAGTTCCATCCGTTTTATCTATAGATCATTGCAAATATTTCAAAAGGAACGCAAAGATGTCCTGATTCAAATTGTTATTTTTTAAGTGTTCAAGTTACAAAGAGATACTTATTTGTTACTATTTTGATTGTCGTATAAAAGACAGCAATAATGAATAAGCAGCAAGTTTATCTGCAGTACAAAACTACATGACATTGTCCTTAAGGTCACTTGTGAGTGAAGGATCAAGATTTTCATTTTAATATCAAGATAATAACGAAACGTTTCCTACTCATTTCAGTCGATCTCTGTCCTGTATGTGGACAATTATCCCTTCCACTTGCTAGTCCTTCTCTTAAAACATAGTGTGCCGCTGGGGTCTGTAAAGTATATCATAATTTTGATAAAAACATATCAATTTGATGTATTTATATTATTTATTTGGTTGGTTTAACGAGGCACCAACACTGTCTTATGGCGACTGTGTTCCGCTTTCCTGGTGAACAAAGGCGTCAAATCCCCCTGTGTACATTATTTTGAGGACAAAAACGGGCACCTGACAAGAACCACAGACCTAGATAGTTTTCTCACATAAAAAGATCCGTAGACACTGGCGCGACTTGAACGTACATCAATGAGAGGCAAGTGGTCAGAATGCAACGATCTTAACCACCCGACCAAGACGCCCCTATATCTGTTCAATTCAGTTCAGTCATCGATTAAGTTATTAAAACAGATTGATTAACACTGCATAAGATATTGAGCTTTGTTTTTCATTAGTCAATGGCTAAATCAATGCTGTCTTCCTAAGATAATAATGCATAAACAAATATTTGTATCTTTCGGTTTCTTTGTATCTTCTCGTCAGGATTAGAGCCAATAATCAAACTACTTCATTATAAGGGAAATAGATAAGTATCATCATATCATAATTAATCAGACTGGTGATAAACTATTTATGAACTTTTGTGACCAAAGAAAGGCTAATCACAAAAAATGAAAATTTAGAAAGATGTTCTTATTAATTCGAAAGAGAAACCTTATGTAAACTACAAGAACTAACAATCTTAACACAAAAAAAATCAAATGAAAGTGTCATTTCATAAGATCTAGTGCAGGATAGATTGGCTGTGGTGACCAATTATTTCTTCAATTTAGTAAATTTTTGTGATACAAGTAAAATTATACCTTTCTATACAAAAGAATGATGTGTCTGTAATACATAAAATGAGAAATATTCTAAAGACGAAAGAATATTATTTCAAGCATGCAAGAGGTAAAATGACGGCATAACTTTTCTTGAAAATGATACGGATAAGTCGGATATTCCTTAGGTAAGTACATGTACAAAGCTGTCTTATTCACGTGAAGGCCATATTACTTTTAACGAAATAACAGATGTTCGTATTTTAAAACTAATATGTATATAAACAATGATAAATGTCTTGGATCTGATGGTTGGCTGGAATAAATATGTCATTATATAGATCGATATAAGCTATACTACAATAATTCAATAATTGCATTTCAAAAAATAATACACATTAACAGTTTTTAAGGAATCGGTGACTTATTTTGTGACATTTAAAAACTTACAAAGATTTGAGCGTTCAAAATCCCTGTAAAAACTCACTTACTGGAAAAAGCTAGGAAATCTTGGTCTATCTAATTGCACTAATTTGACTAGAAACTATATTTTATAACATATATTTAAGTAAACATTATGACAACTTTTAATTTCATTATTGTTTTAACTTTATGTTTATATTAGTATATTAAGTATATATGAGCACCACATTGGAAATAAACCCGAGGTTATTGCACATTACTCTATACATGCATTTTCTTTTAAGTTGCATGTTCCAATATGCGTATTTAATATGTAGTCAAACGTAAATAAGATGAAGCATTTAATTTAGTCTTGATTTAGTTGTTACATTTGTGTTTTTGAATATTTTTTACTTCCTATGATAAGTTATTTGTGACAAACTACCAAAGTACCTTAAAACGAATTTATTTATTTGCTTTCATCATAATATGTGTAAGTTTGCAAAATAAACTAATGCTTATTAACCGAAAGTTTACTTGTTACTAAAAGAGGAAGGGAAAGTTCTTTATATTTTGATAATCAATATGTATATATGTGAATGGCAAGGTTAAATGATCTAATTTGTACAATGATCACATTTTTTTACTCATTGTGTAAATTTAAAGCAAATCTGGCAACATGCTGCTTTGTTTCTGTATGAAAGTGTAAATATTGTTGTTTTGTTTTTGTAAATTAATGATGTTACTGTACTTTTTTGCACTATCCCTGTCATGATATATATGCTAATTGCAATTATATACAGTATACAGGGGATGTTTTTGATTTGTACAAGTTTTATGGACGAGGATATAAAATATATACAAGAATTAAAAATAAATATTTTCATCAGTTATACTTTTTGTTTTTTCTTCTTGTTGCCACCTTTCCCTTTCGTTCTTTTCTTCTTTTTCTTTTCCGTCTCACTTCTTCTTCTCCTTAACTGACTTATATGTGTGAAAGCATTTGCAATGGTATGCGTATTTGTTTTCTGAAATATAAGTTTTAATCTAAACTAATATACTGCATGTTTGACTACAAATACTATGTACTACAAACTATAACAAACCGAATCCTACTTTCTCTTTCGATGACAGATAACAAATGTGTTTTTGTGCAAATTTAAATCACACAAGAGTTAGTAACTTAATACCCGACGTTATAATTCTGTATTGATAGCAATAGTTTAAACCGTTTGAGTGATCTTAATATTTCATTATTTAGTAAACCCATCAGCTATATTCGGCAGATTAAATCGGTGGCGGAGAGAGGGCGTGGACAGTAGTATGTATTATAACAATTATGTCTATGAATAAACTCAATCAAACCGAAACTGTTCCATTTTATTAAATCGTATAGAACAATCTTTAAGATTGCAATTATCAATATCATTTAATTCAGTGTATAAATATATACAGATATGATACAGATATAAAATGTTCAATGCATTGCGTTGCAATAAGTTATAAGAGTTATTTGGTCTTACTTGTGAAATAGATCCCTGAGCTGCCACAACTTCATGAAACCCGTTCTTCCCATGTAACGAAACCTCACTTTCAATTGAATCCTTGCCATGCTTTACTGTTTTGTTAATCGAAACAAGTAAACATGTGCAATAAACACAACATGTTACACCAATTAAAACTGTGACCAAACAAACTGTACATGTATACATAAACCAGGTATAGCACGTGCATTGTGCAGGTTTATCAGTATCCTCACTGTCCGTCTGTCCACAATGTGCACACTTCATACCTCCCATTTCATTATGGCAATAGATAATCGAAACCAAATTCCAAGAACATGTATTAAATTAAATATTTAGAATCGATTATGCTAAAACATGTCTACGTGACCCAAATTCAAGTACGTAAACTGTATTGAATTGACTACCTCTTTGGTGTAAATATTATATTTCTTTTACATATATTCAATCATATACCACTACATTGATATTCTTTGACTTTACTTAAATCCTTCCTTCAACATTTAAAGAGGTCAACTCAATGTAAAATTATTTTTGGCGTCCGCGCCGAAGCGCGGCGCCTTTTATGTAATGAAATCAGATTTTGTGAAAGGGCGACAGCAACTTCTCGAGCCTTTTATAGTTGTTCATAATAAAAGCCGATCGTTCCGATCGGTATGAGGGTGCTTGATTATTAATTAGTCGCGATATGTACAATGAATAGCGAACTGGAGAATTTCGCATTGCAAACATTTTCAACTGAAATCACCTTTTCCGTCAATAAATCGCGCTCTTCGGGGTATTTTTATTTATCATTTTGTAGCACACAGTGGGTTATTATGGTATGTTATTCCGAAAGCTGTAAATAGAATGATGAGTTGATGACCTAAATATTCCGAAAATCTATTTATAGACGGATGTACTCCTATCGGTAATTCCCGGTCTCTCCAGGTCTATTTTGACCGGGGGCGAATAGTACCACACGTTTATTGTCCGGTCTCTCCCGGTTTTGGAGTAGATGTTTGATATCGTTACAGAACAAAACAAATATTTTACAGATAAATAAGCTTTTTTTTTCAAAATGAATGTTAGTTTGGTTACAATAATTAATAAACACAGATCAACTCTCAAATTTATTGATTATTATTATACATAAACATACAATTCGAAAAAAAAAACGAAAACAACACAAATCGCATGTTTTATTTTATCTATATGAGATCAAAACAATAAATATGTACAATAATTGAGAAAAATGTACATTTTTATGGCATTAATATGACACTATCAACTTTGAAACATTTTATTTCATTTGTTATTCGTGTTTAGTAAAGATGCCGAGGAATTATTACAAATCAAGTACAAAAAAGTTACAAATCAGATTTTATGAATAATTCAATTGATTGATAATTTAAAAAATGATAAAGAAAAATACAAATGTACATGTATATGGTTTAAGAATAAACAATATTATATATTGAAAGATTAACCATAGTTTACTGACTTTTTCCAGTTAAGTTTTGACTTAATTATAATCGTCGGTCAATATGACGATTGAATTCTTAAAACAGTAGTAAACGTAAAAACTCAGTATTAAAATAGCGCATAAAACAAAAAAAGAAAACAATATTCATAAAATCTGTATTTTTTATTAAAATGAATATTACAATTATTGTATAATAAACAATTATGCTCAACATGATCAACATGGCAATATAACAAATGTCATATTGTTACTAAGTGTGAACAGATACCTTAAGAGGGGGTCTTCGCTCATAGCGATAAAATAATAAGGGACAATTACACAAGTGTGGTGCTGATCATGCGTTACACATATGGATTATAAATGATTGTATACATGTATGTCTGTTGCTATTAATAACCACGATCATAAAGAAATAACAAGTAATATTCTAATTTCTAGCATGCCAATCAAAGTTATAAGTAATGAACAATGTCTTTCGTCCGTTCATTCATAAGTGATATACAATTCTGGTAAAAACCAATGAACCATTGAAAAGTTTATAAGAATATCTTGTCATCATATATCTACTAGTTCATCTGCACTTGCTGTATTTCTTGCTTGGACGCCCTTTGATGCTTCTTTGCATCAATGCTTTTCTTGTGTACAATTGTTATGATACAATTTGACGATAAAGATTAAGATATTTATAGAATGTAGTGTCTATGTATCATTGTTATATTACAAAGTTAATGTAGCGTGTTTCTATGCGAATCGTTATGTAAATATGTTTCGGGTATTTTACGTTTCATATGCTTAGAAATCATCAAATTAAAAGCCGAAATTGTTCAAGAAATCTCGCCCCAACTCTGCTGTATTTCTTAAATGGACTTGTACCGTTTTTATTAGAACAAAATAGTTATTAATTTTGTGTATATAGACTTTTGAAGTTTTGTCAAGCAACAGTAAAGAGCCTTGTTAGACTGCATGGATGTGCAGACTGGTCTGTCCACTTACTGATGGCAAAGGTCAGTCACTTTCTCCATATGGTTGAGTACTGTGTAAATCTTAATACTCTTGCACTTGTCAGTAATCTTTTCAAAAACGTTAAATTTAGCACTAATGAAGTCACAATTGCATGATGGTGTTTTAAACCCTAATACATACATTAAACAAGCAAAGTAAAATGCTGTTTGGTTATTCGCTTTAGTCTTTTTATTTATTTATCTTTTCTTCATTTTTATTATATACGTTAATATTTAACGATGACCAATAGATATTTTCATTCACAAGACCAATTGGATCAATTTGTCATCTTCACGCTCGTTTGAAAGATAGTTAGAGAGACGTTATGCTAATAGCATCAACATTGTCAAATTCCAATGACCTAAATTTTAAAAGTCCTAATACAGTATCATCATATTGATCAAGAAGAAGAATAAAAACGACAACAATTCTCTACAAGTTTAACCCATTACTTCATGAGCATTTTGTGAAAAATGGCTGTTTTCATTGAAAAGTCTCCCGTTACAAGTTCAATTTGCTATAATACTATAAAAACTGCTTCAACACTAATCAAACTTGGCACAAATGTTGACTGTACCATTGCCCTTGCAACAACATGCTCAGGCTTAAATTTTCTGTTACCATGGCAACGAGGGGACATCTCAAAATTGCCAAAAATCACTATTTTGCGTTGATTTTTTCCATCAAAATTGATTTCAAAGTGCTGCAACTTCTCAATGGATTGAGATAGAGTCAAATGGTTTTCAGCGTTGGTTACACGTTACCTTATGATCAATCTGGGGTCATTTACAGCCTCTCACAAGTCCAAAATTTTCTTGGCGATGAGGGGGACTCCGCCCCCCTTCAAACCCCCCAAACAGAAGGGGGCACAGCCCCCTTCTGGCAACCCCCTGATGTATCTTTTGGTTTGGGGGCCGCGCCGAAAAAGAGGTCACTTTTTTAACAACATTTCTCAAACAAAAACAAGTGTTTGGGGCCTAAATAAGGCATTTTTTCATCATTTGAGACAACAAAAAGGGGGGGTGAAAAAGGCGTTAAAAGGCGTGTATATGAAGTAATGGGTTAAACGGTTTAACTGTAACAAAACATACACTCTATTTAATTGATAAATATACAGCCTAAAACAAGATAATGATATAAATAATTGAAGTATAGAAGTATTTATGTAACCGGTACATTTGTTAAAGGTTTGAGATCAAAAGAATAGCAAATATTGTCAGCGAAAAAATGCCCAACAATATCATAATAAATGGCATAGTTACAATATACAATATCATAATAAATGGCATAGTTACAATATTTACATTACACGTAAATTAAAACCAATGTCGAAATGTGCTTTGTGACAATACTGCCTCCCTTAATGTGAACAGAGTGCTCAAGAACTTTATTAAAACCACACACATACATACACGCAAATTCTCATTTCATCGCAATAAAATGGCTCCAAAGAATGTATTGTCTGTTGAGAAATTTAAGTTCAAATCTGTGTCAAACAACTCTATTGTCAGATAATCTCCCTTGTCTAGGAAATAAAGAGCTGTTATTGAGCACGTGTTGTTAACATTTTTGTCAATGTTACGTAATCCCCTGACGCATGCGTACTCCTGTATAACTTGATCATTGCTCTTCTTCCGGTGTACAACTTTCATTTGCTGAAATTCTTTGGAATCGTAGAATGATACCTATAATGCATACACATATTTATTTACACATATAATTCATGATAGCAAACAAAACCCTTCTTAATACATGGACTATTAGATGTATAATGACATACAAATTCCTTATATTTATTGACGTGTATGGCTGACCTCGAGGCAACCTTTTGTATGGTTGACAAATAGACACAATTCATACAGTGTACAGTCATGTATGGTTTTTCTTATATTGTATAGGGAGACAATTTTTTTTTGTATAGACATGTTTGGCTTATTGTATAGAAACGTTAGGTTGACATCGAGATAAATTTCTTATATTTTATTAATATGTTTGGCTGACAAAGACTGTGAGACAAATTTCCTTATACAAACTTCATTCTTCTATCTTCATGTTTGAATGATAATGTTTCTACTTACATCTTATATAAGAAACTCGACCAACACGGCAGTGAATTTTAAGCGATACATATGACAATCAGTAAATTATATATCTGATAGTGTACAGTAATCGGCTAATTGCTTAATACTGAAATAAGATAACATTGACGAACTTACACGACGTGCATTTTAGTTACATTATTCTGACATTAGGATTATTTCATATTAATGTGTACCGGCTAGAAACGATGTTACTAGATCTTACACTATTATTTCATTCTTGGCATGACACGGGTGGTCAGAGATTTAAACTATGGCCCAACATACTAGATGTTAAAAACTGAGAAAATATGTCGTGTTTTTAATTTTGGCATATGGTATAAGTTGTAAAATTCCATTTATATATAATTCATGATTATGCTTACCTGGGCATAAACAAGATATGTTCCTTTCTTCTTTGTTACAAATTTTCCATCTTTAATCCCCTTGAAAGGCGAATTCTTTTTCTGCAAAGATGGTGATTCCTCAAAAACATGGAGTGTCTTCGCTAAAATCGATAATCAAGAATCTACAAGTTTTGCAAAGCTGTTCTCTGCAGAAGCTTTTATAATAACACTTCAGGTACGATTTGATTAGTTTGTCCACGAGACGTTAACCTTTTTACTAATGATGTCATTGCTCTCGAGGGATTTGGCTTTTTCTAAATTTTATAATGATTGTCCGTTAAATAATAACATTTTAAGGGTTTTTGACATGTTAGATACTATATAATTTATTCTTTACTTTTTAATACATCAAATCCTTCGTGACACATGTTTTAAATGTTTTCTTTCAAACCTTGTTCACAGAACAAAATGATGCAATGCAATCTTATTTCAACAATTATAACAAATACAATATCTTTGTTTTGCGCATAACATATACATGTAAATTATTCTTATTTGAATATGCATATGACTGCGTGACTAAGTCTGAGTTAGGTCTTACTTAGTTTCAGAGTACATAGTGCCATCGCAATACATGCATTAAATTATGATGGCTAGCTATGTGCTTAGATCAAACAAAATGTATTTTAACACAACTAGGGACAACATACCATCATACCAAGGTTAAGGACACATATAAGCTGTATAAAATATAGAACATTGTTAACATTATCAAATAGAAGGTATTATCAGTTGATTATTGTCACATATTTCCTTTTTCTATATTTTAGATACTGCTTTTTTCAAACATGAAATGGTATACGTACTGTCAGATTTGAAGTCGCCTGTCTTGCACAACTTCCCGTTCCATTGACTAATATGCTTGCATGTAGCTGTATGTGGAATAAAGTTATGGTTGTTCACATTTGTATTATAAGCATCGTAAAATTATGATAATGTTTATCGCCATAAGTACGGCCTAAATTGTGTTGGTGCGCCGTAAAACTAAACAAAAATAAGAGCCATTGGTTATTCAGTATTTCAATGTCATTATATTAATACAACGTATCAGATCATGTAATTATGGTGTGTCAGTATCTGTGTATTTTCTTAATGATTGTATATTAGTGAAAACTTACAAATCATCCTTGAATGTGTATAATTCTTGATGTTGGTTAGAAACTCGTTCTTGGTTCTTTGTTCGTAATGCCCGGCCAATAACTATTGTAAAATAATACATTATATAATAACAAATTACATGTACGAGTATATGCAAAGATGTATAAATACATGTATAAAATATAGTTAATATGAGTTACTTAAAGTTTTACCGTTTGGTAGCTGTAGCAAGTTGCCCATACGTTATCGGTTTATTGTAATATATTTTTGTAAAATATAAATCTGATTTCAAATATTCTCAGCGTTCAAGATTCATAATTGGTTAGATCGGTGCAAGTGGGTCTACGAATATTGCAGCTCCTTTATCTTTTATGAATCAAGCCGTGTATGTGAATATTACTTAACTTAATTTTTAGTGCTCTCTTTTCGACAGAGATAACATGAAAGCAATAGGCTTATTTCTAAGTTTTATTATTAAATTTTAATACGCAGTTGTCAAAAACATAAAAGTTATGTGCAATCAGTTTATCTATCATTATCACGGTTAGTGGTATAATTGTATGCATACAGGTGTTCTAAAATTAAAGTATTGAGACACTATTTGCAAAATATAACCTGATTGTATGTTTACGTATCATATTGTTGGAAGGACATCAAGAAAACGTAATATACCGGTAGTGTAGTAGTAGTATTTTGTGAAGATAACAAACTGAATTATACTAGGCCATGAAATGTTCAGTAAGAAATGTAGGGATACCTTTGGACATTTACACTTTTTCTTTCGTTCACTTGTTGCCCGTTTTAATCTTACTGTCAACTTGTTATTCGCATGTCGAAGAATTGGTGACATCATTTGATTGCTGACCTATAAATAAAGCATGTTTTGTATGTTGTTATGCAGTATTTTGATAACATGTTCTTATGTAATTCGACAGTGTTTTTTTTTGTCAAATAATGGTAAGGACAGCTAATACAATATACGGAGGCATTGCTCGTGATATAATGCTGTTTTCCACGATATTGCATCTATATTTTGACCCCAATATATGTTAAACGAACAATTTACAAATAAAATATAATCATCTGCAAAGAGTATATGCGTCAGCACATGTTAGGTATTGTCATATTGTTTATCAATATAGATTATTTCTTATTTGTCGGTTAGAGATAACGTTTGCGTAATATACAAAAAATGTAAATTAAAATATATAACTATATTGACAACATTATTCTCGTATGCCAATTTTCTTGTCAAGTTTGAAAGTAATTTATAATGCCACAAATTAATTGATTTAATCTGTTCAGTGACTTAAAACTTATAAAGTTCTACAATCAAATTACCTTGCAGCGGTTTAATATCTGAATAAATAAAGCAAACAAACCTGTTTTTTATTTTCCATTTTCGAAATATAGATATCCTGTAGATAAGTTTTTACACTTTTGTTGCTTTTGCCATTGTAATTGACATTCTTGCAAGGTTCTTTTAACGCCTCAATTCTGAGCAGAATCATTGTGCAATAAATGCAACATGTGACGAGAACAATGCACACGAGCAAACATATCCCGCATATGCGCCGGAACCACTTAATACATGTACACTCAGCACATGCATCAAAATCATGCGCAGGATTCCGAGAATATTTGCAATACATCAGTGATAGCGTTACGGCGGGGATAATTGCGATACATTAACCGCTACGAAAATCAATTGCATGTAGATATATAAAGTGATATCAGGTAGTTTGATTGAAGTTTATATATACGATGAGGGGTGTAATGGTCTATTTGGTAAACGAATCATTGTGATTATTTATTAACCTCCTTTCGAGTTTTACATCGAAAACTTCCGGTTCTTGGTACAAATTAAATACTGTGAAAAGAACAAAACCTTTTACTATTATTCAAAATTTTTATTTGTAAGTTCTTATCATAGATCCGTAACGATGTAAATTGATATAACAGATTAAGATTATCTCAACTTTACAGATTGTCATATGAGTTATCTTTATTTCAGTGAGACGCATGTTAATATGTATTTTTCTCTGCATATTCACTTTAGAATTACCTGTATTTTCAATTTTAAACTGTTCTACAATTTCATAATTTGTCATAACGAGAAAGGAACTTAACTTCTTTGCAAATACCAATTTGTTGATCCTAACAATAGGGAATATTTTATTCTGCATTAATACTTGTTCCAATAATCATCAGTAAATTGAGCCTTGTCGCTTGTTTTCTTTGATTTATCACGAATTTGGAAAAATCCATTCAAAGATTTAGCAATTTCAATATCAATAAAAACTGAGCTTCCAACATGACAGAGCCTGGTCAGAGTGTATTGAATAACTTTATAATGTAAGCACTTAAGGATTGAAATACGCTTATTGAACTCGTTCAATGTGTTGGTTTCTTTGGCCTGCCACGTGTCGATGTCTGTGTCGTGGTAAGTGCATAAATGATATTTCTGATTTAGGATTTCATTTCTTTAGCAATGCCACTCTCTTGCATCAGAACATAAGATTTTGAATGCAAAGTGTCATAAGGTAGTCATTGTAACAATGCACGGATGGACACCTGTTGTCTTCCTCCACTAGTAAAGCTAGAAAGTTACCATATGACCTATACTGTTTTTGTGCAACATAAAAACAAAAATAAAACAAAAAAGAAAACAGGTTATCATTACCATAAAAGATTGTTCACGATACATGGCAAATACCACTACTGTCCATGAACAGGCTCAATCGAACCGATTCTGTGATACTAGTATTTTCAACTTTGCCGCTTTAGCGTTCTAATGGGATTCTGTCTTTCTTTAATTTTTGTAACAATTTTAGACAGCTTTTTTTATAACATAAAATATTGTGTTTTTAAATATACTAGATAAAATACTCAACGTTATATACATATATATTTATTACTTTTATTTGACATGTATGAAACAAATGACTTCAAAATAAGTATTATTTATATTCTCTCAATCAAGAAAATATCAAACGTCCTAAATTATAAAAAATAAGTATGACCTATATTCTGTAAAATCATCAAGAAAATAACAAATATCGAATGACATTTACAGTGATGTCATTGGATATATATCTTTAATAATATAGCTGCCTGAGATGTTCTGTTCCTCTACTTTACTTTAAAACAATGCCACTAAGCTGCACCATTCCAAAGAATGTCTTGTCTTTATCTATCTCAATTTCCTTTGTTGCATCACCTCTTTGTACTTCAACAGTATCACCCTGTTCTAGTTTCATCAAACCTAACACAGAGCATGTTTGTTCAAGATATGTTTCTGTGTATCTTCCAGTGTAGCACGTCAACTCGTCATTCATTTGTTTGTCACCTTTCTTATGAATCACAGAAATAGCTTTTTCTGTTCCACTGCCTCCTATGAAAACCTGATGTAGAAGATGGAAGTTTATTATTGCAAATGTTCCATAACAATTTAAATAAAACAATTCGTTTAAATTATTTATGGTGTTGTATAATTACTTTATATCTTAAAGTGTTAAACATATCATTCATATATCTGATGGAAAACTCTGGATTATGTGCTTTGTACTTTTGTGCTTTGGTTCCAATATATAATACCTAATATCTATACGTCCTGGAAATTTGGTTTGCCATTTTATCAGCACTAGGTGTTCGCAGAGCTTCTTTTTATAAGTTACGGAAAGGGTCCATTTTCATTGATTTTGGAAAGCAGTATAAAGAAGGGGGCGATTTATTTGACGCTATCTGAGGGGAGACAACCGATATAAGACAACTGACGTTTAGCGAGACACTAAACATGAAGTGGTTTTGTCTTAAGCGATAGTTGGTCTTAAAGTTATTATCAATGACTTATTGAATACCTAATATTCTGCCTTTACTTTTACAAAACATAAATCATTTAACATGCGGATGTATTTTCAACAAATTGCAGTGGTGAACAATTAATTGAGAGATCAATCAGTCGTGTTAGATTATGATGTTTACGATTCAATTTATCTTGTAATTTAAACGTTTGCATTCAAGGGCGATAGATCTGCTCATAAAAATCATATATTTCTTTATAGTTTCATTACCTGTGCATAAACAAGAAATATTCCAGTCGATTTTACAACGGCAACAGAATCTTTGTTTAATTCAACAGGGGAAGAAGCGTCGACCCAATCTGCTTGCTTGAATATCTGTAATGGTCCTTCATCTGAACAAGAAATAAGACACACCATTATGACATGATTATGCTTGTGAACTGGTTATTGTTTTTCAGAGAACCATAAATACAATGGAGTAGTGTCACAACAAAACCAACATTGTGGGTTTGCGACCAGCATGGATCCAGACCAGCCTGCGCATCCGCGCAGTCTGATCAGGATCCATGCTGTTCGCTATCAGTTTCTTTTCTTGTTATAGGGTTTGTAAGCGAACAGCATGGATCCTGATCAGACTGCGCGGATGCGCAGGCTGGTCTGGATCCATGCTGGTCACAAACCCACTATGTTGGTTTTGTCTTGACACGGCTCATTTCTTGTTATACTTCAACTATCGCATACACAATAATAAAACAAAATAACACACATAACCAACACAATTCTTTACTATTTTCCATAAAAAGTTAAAAATTTTATACATTTGTATAGGGTATTATGAAAGAAATAAAATGCTGCTGAAATATTCGAGATTTCGTAACATACATGAAACATAAATAACGAACCAACACCATTATGTTAACTATCAATAAAACAAACACTGTACCGGATTTTTTTAATTCTGAATACACATCTCCAACAAGTGTTTGCGTTTTTCTGTCACCTGTATTCGCTTCGAAATGAACTGCCGGTAAGTTAACCTGAAAATGAAAGTATTGTTCTTTTACTAGGATGTAAAATCTTCAATTCGCATTTAATTTTTAGGTATGAGGTTCACTTGATCAATTAAACTACAAATATCTTTCAATATATTTAATTGTGATAGATTGTCAACAGGAAGGCAAATATCAAGTATATAGCAAATGGGTTTTTTTTTATTATTATTATTTAATTGTTATGAATAGACATAGAATGCGCGAAATCACTTATTTGATTGAATACGCAGAATTTCTTATTCAAAGAGCAACTGTGAGGTAATTCAGGGAAAATGAACATTTGATACAAAATCTAGTTCTGTATCGAGAAATCTATGAAATGCCTTTTGTAAGATGTTTCTTAAGTATTCACTACTATAAGCTATCTCAGAAACTATAACTGTTTGCATAAGTATTAGGGTATTTGAGAGAAAAAAGGAAACTGATTGCATATTCTAGTATGTTTTGGTATGTATTGCTTTTAATTTGTCAACTTCAAATAAAGGTCCTTTCTGTCATAAATTCTAATTTAGAAATTTACAAAGAAATGGATTTTATAATATTTGCAGTAGGTACTTTTGTCCGTGGTTTTATATAAAAAAAAATGTGACACAAAAAGATTAATTTAACTCAATAAAGGAAATTCCGGCAAATAAGTGGTGACCTTTGTTCTTGTAAATTCATTTTTTCTCAGAAAACACGTAATATTTTCAAATAAAACCGTGAAAAAATTAACCGATTTCATATCTTTTTTAAAATTATTTAATTAATCTCTTAAATTAAAAAATGTAAAATACAATTAAAGTTCAGAAAGTGATCTAAATATTTTAGATAATTCTCAATGTTTCATCAAGCCCAATTAATTTATAAAGCACGTGACTACATCTGATGAAAACTTTGAAAACTTTGAAACTAATAATAGACAATTATCATTTACGTCATTCTTACTATTTTTGCTTTCACAATGCGAGGCTTTAATGATAAAAAGAACATTATGTATTCAGGAAATAATAAAAAATATCTACATATCATCTTATTTCATCCAATCATCTAATTGCTTTTAATGAACGTGTCTTTAATTCATCATACTGTGTTTCTTTAGTCAAATACAACAAAGTTCCAGTTTCGGAACTCTCATTCATCGATTTGAAGGACAAAAAAGTGTAAAATCAGTCAGTCAACAGTATAAGGCCAGGTCAAAATACATCGATATTCAGACTGCCCTAGCTCTGAATGGATGGCAGAGGTTAAACCATTTTTGGCAAAGAATAAAATAATATGACTCACTTGCGTAGGAATGGTGATTATTCTTGGCTTAACTGTTCCAAATTTCTTTTCTAAAACAAAAACAATACATATTTGCCCTAGCAAAAAGTAATAATTTTCATAACAACATACTGCACTTCTTTCTTGTCATAAAAATGACTGAATTTTACCAACTGAATGTGTAATACTTCTTATAATGAAACAATAAGAATGCTAGACTATCTTTTTTTAAATAAATTTGAGACATGCATTTAAAGGTTTATTTGTTATAGGAGTATCATATCTTGAATAGGCAGATCGTAATTTTCGTTTCCTGTTGGCATATTAAGCATTATTAACATTTATATAAGCTTAGATTTCCTCACACATTATAAGAAATGTTATGGAGAAAAGTAGAGATACAAATGTACTTACTGCACTCTCGTTTGCAATTCCTCTTTTCAATTCGCGTACCCTTACAATTTTTTCGACATGTTTTAAGATCTGCATCTGCGCGTCTTATTCGGATATGCCCCTGAAAACAGTAAGGAGTTAATAATTGTTAGCAGTTTACCTATATGAAATTCGACTGCTTAGCACGAAAATGAGTAAAATGAGTATATTCAATGTAAAGTAAAATTCATCAAGACAAAAGAGTTAATGAAAACAAAATGTGCATTTCCACTTGTTTAATATTGAGATGTTCTGTTAATTAACTGTTAAACATAAAATAAGATATAACCATACCTTTACATCTGACGTTAGTCTTTCATTATTACTATTATAGCTGTCAAGATGTTGCAATAGCTCTTCTTTTTTTAAATCACTGCCTAAAATGGTTTTGAAAGTATCCATGTCTTTTACCTTTTTACCAATGTCGTGTTTTACACCATTTCCACGATGGGAAGATGGTACTCGCGCAGTTTCATATACAAACGGTCCTGAATTATCATACTGTTCTCTTACATCTGTTTGAGCTTTATTGCAATAAAGAGAGCATGAAACTGTAACGATGCAAGCAAAAGTGCATATAACAGCACAAATGATAGACAACAAATCCGATTGTTTTATATTTGTATGATTTTGACATGCGCACGGTTGGTATACTTCGTCGTCAATTAAACCTCTCCCTTTATTATGTACTCGAACACCCGTTTTATCCATATTCGGTTTTACAACTTTCATACAGTATTCATGTAATCTAGACTAGATATACGACGGTAAATATTAATGTTTGCAAACAGACAAGCCATGCATATAAGACACGTGATTTCTAATTCGGGCTTATTTATAGAGACCTTAAAAGTGTACTTTCAGTTTTCCTTTACAAGACAAATACAACTAAGACGTGGAAATGACTAATCTGCCTTTCTGAAAGTTTTTTTTGTACAATGGTTATTTGATTCATGTGAAAGTAATCCATTAAGCATCTAACCTTATTCGTTGGTATAAAGTTATTTTAAAAACACATCATGCACATTTTCCAAACTTTCAAACTGAGTTTATATCTGTAGTATTTCTATATTTATAATCAATACGTAACTAAACTGGGTTAAGAATGCTAGTGTCCCTGACCTAGTATTTATACACACTTACTACTTGTTAACGAATGGAGGAAGTTATATTGACATAATAGCCACAAAAACTTCATATCAATCGTTCATTTCTTGATAAAACTATACAAAAGAGATACTATTGTTTAGTAGAAAATACCACTTGTATCTTTCTACAGGTTTATTGATCCCTTTATCTTTAAACTTGACCTCTTTGAAAGGAGAACACTTAAAGCGTAATGAAATGATCTTTAATTTTGTAATGTTTTCACCACTATAGAACCTTGTCTGATCCCTGGGTCGTGCAAGCTGGTCTGACCTCAGGGTCGTGCAGACTGGTTTGACACCTGAGACGTGCAGACTGGTCTGGTACGTGCAGGCTGGTCAGACATCTGGGACGTGGGCCAGCTCTGACAATTTAGGTCATGCAGGCAGGCCTCGGGCGTGTGACTTCGTTTGGGTCGTGCGGGCTAGTCTGAATTCAGGGTCGTGCAGGCTATCTGAACCCTTGGACGTGCAGGCTTGTCTGGCCTTTAGGCAAGGTGGTCTGACCCCTGGGTCTTGCAGACTGGTCTCATTCTTGGGTCGTGCAGACAAGTCTAGCCCCTGGGTCGTACACGCTGGTCGGACTTCTGGGTCGTAAAGGCTGGTCTGATCCCTGGAACGTGCAGGCTGGTCAGACCTCCGGGACGGACAGGCTGGTCTGACCCGTGGGACGTGCAGGTTGGCCTGAACATTGGGTTATGCAGGTAGGCCTCGGGCGTGCAGGTCTGTTTGACCTAGTCTGTGTCGTGCAGGCGACCTGAACCCTTAGACGTGCAGGTTTGAATGACCGTTGGACGTGCAGGCTGGTTTAACCTCTGGGTCAGGCAGGCAGTTCTAACCTCTGGGTCGTACAGTTGTCTGACCCTTGGACTTGCTGGCTTGTCTGACCTCGGGACGTGCAGATTGGTATGACCTCTGGGTTGTGCAGGCTGGTCTAATATTTGGTTCGTGCTGGCTTTTCTGACTTATGATCATGGGACTTGCTGGCTTGTCTGACCCTTAGACGTGCAGGCTGGTCTGACTTCTTGATTGTGCACGTTGGTCTTTCCTCTTGGTCGTAAAGGCTGGTCTGACCTCTTGGTCGTCCTGGCTTCTCTGATTTCTGTGTCGTGCAGGCTGTTCTGATGTCTGAGTCATGCAGACTCGTCTCACCACTCGGTCGTGCAGGCTAGTCTTATCCCTTGGTCGTGCAGACTGGTCTGACTCTGAGACGTGCAGGCTAGTTTGACCTTTGGGTCATGCCGGCTGTTTCTACCTCTTTGTGGTACAGACTGCTCTGACCTCCTGGTCGTGCCGACTAGTCTGGTCTCTGGGTTGTGCAGTCTTGTCTGACCTTTTGGTTGTGCAGACTGGTCTGACCTTTGGGTCGTGCAGGATGGTCTGACCTCTTGATCGTGCTAGCTTCTCTGACTTTTGTGTCGTGCATGTTGGTCTTACCTCTGTGTCATGCAGATTGTTCTGGCCTCAGGGTCGTTGGGGCTGCTCTGACCTTATGGTCGTACAAGCTGGTCTGACCTCTTGGTCATGCTGGCTTTCTTATTTCTGTGTCTTGCAGACTGTTCTGACGTTTGGGTCGTGTAAACTTTTCTCACCTCTGGGTCGTACAGGCTGGTCTCACCGCTGGGTGGTGCAGGCTGGTCTGACCCTTAGACGTACATGCTAGTTTGACCTCTTGGTCATGCATGATTGTTTGACCTTTGGGTCATGCAGGCAAGACTCTGGCGTGCAAGCTGGTCCGACCTGTTGGTCGTGCAGGCTGGTCTGATCTTTGGGTCGTGCAGGCTGGTCTTACCTATGTGTCGTGCAGGTTGGTCTCGCCTTAGTGTTGCGCAAGCTGGTCTGACCATAGTAAAACAGTATTCACTTATTTCATTATCAGCTATTTTGTATAAAAGTTAATTGTCTATGCTGCTCATTCGTCTCAGGGAATCTTTGTTAAATTCTGAGGAATATGTTTACTAGTATGCGTTGATGGGAACATTGCATTCATCAATCAACCGTACAACAAAACAACAACAGTTACGTTTTATATGATTATTTTATTTCTATAGTCTATATAAATGTTTAAACCTCATAAGTATTGTAAAACATGAATATACATGTATTTAATTAAACATTTTTTTTCTTCTAATTATTGCTAATATACATTGATTGTCCATATATATTTTAACCCCATTTATATATTTCAAAAAATGCCGCCATGAAAATAAAAAATGCCAGGAATTTTAATATGTGACCAGGTCACACAACATTATGTTGTTTGACAGTACAGAATGACTACTTTGAAGTTGTTAGTTTCACTTGCCTGCTTTAAGAATTTGAATTGTGATAGTAGATAAGTGTTCTTTTCCCAAGGTTATGTGGAGTACTCAGAAAAACGTGAAATTATGCACATACCACATCATCTTTCATCAAATAAACATTTTTCTAAGAGATACAAAGTAACAAACTTAACAGGGAGTATTGTCTAAACTTAAGAGCTTCAAATATAGAAACAGAAAATCATTGAATGTAATTGTTTCAATGAAAAACTTATTAACCCGACACATAAAATGATTTAGATGGAAATGCACTCAAACGCAAAGAATCGTGTTATACCATATAAAAACTCATTTAAAAAAAGTTTATTCCTTTTTGTTAAAGTGTTCATTAAAATGAAGAAATATATGGTAGACTGAGAGGTGAAATGGTCATACACAAATGTACTAATTAACAAGATTCATGTAAATAATCTATGAACATTTGACCTATTCATATCGTCGTTTGATAAAATTCGGCTGCTACCAAAATCATACTATAATACATTTTTAATTTAATTTGTGATATACTTGTTAGAAAAATCATACAACAGCAATAAATCTGTTTAATTGACAATATCAGTATTTTTCCCTTTTAGAGGCATAAATACCCCAGAAATGCTTTTATCTTTACTTGCCAAAAGCTTTTAAATGTTGGTGTATTTTTAAAAAAGGTTACTCATTGACCAGACATCGGAACCATCTTATTCATCTGTTGCTTTTGTGGCAATAAGTACAGTTATAGTGAATTGATATTTTGTGTGGAAGCCAAAATACTGCTTTGTTTACAATTTTCTACTTTTATGACAAATTATTTTACATTTGTTGCTACTTTCTTTAGGTAATATACATCTAGCATTCTCTAAATCATTATTCATACATTATAAAATTTGTGTTTGCCCTTTCTTAAAGGCCGTAAAAAATCAAAAAAAATAATTTCTTTTATGATTGAGACATAATGTGCTTTTTAAATTTTAACAATCACTTGATATAACAATAACCAATCGCAATTTGTTCATTTACAATATAAATATGTATTTATAGAACAATAATTTCAATCACTCTTCTTGTCCATTAATGCCGATATGTAATTTTCTTAGCTTCAGTTTTTCTGTTTCTTGCTTTTTGGAGGAGTAAATTTACTTAGTTGAACAATACCAAAATATGTCTTGTCTGGATCTAAAATTATCATGGCATTGTCAGCGTCTGTTTGGACTTCAATAGTATCACCTTCTGCAAGGTTGACAAGACCTAGGACAGAACATGTCTGAAGCTGTCCAGATGAGCTATCGTAAAGGTCTGGATGGACACCAGTTCTGCATGTAAGGGTCGTGACTTCTAAGTCGTTGCGCTTTTGAACTAGTTTGATAGACTTCTGAGGATCTTTTCCTCCGATGTATGCCTAAATGAAGAAGACACATGCTATATATTATGATTATATACACTTTTTATCTACAAGTCAATGTATATTTTGAAAACGTGAGTAAATATTAAGCCACGAATTAGTGTACATAAATATTTCACGAATATTTATTATAATAGTTTTTTGTTTAAGAACGTATTTTCTTTTGACCGGAGAAAAATTATGATACTATTTATTTATTTATGCTTACTAAACATATTCCTGCGTTAACAAAGATAAACAAATTTAATATTATCATTATCTTTATGCCTTGACTTACCTGGCCATATACCATATATATGCCCGTTGTTTTGGCCTTGGCCTTTGCATTGTCGAACGTAACGGGAGACGTTTTTTCATCAAACCATGGAGATGGTTTAAAGATGTTAAGTGGTATATTTTCTGAAATAAAATTATAAAGTATTCGTAGTATACTTTCTTTCATACATGTTAATGTCTCTATAAGTTGAATGTATTACTTTTTTTGAATTATTTTCTTTAAATTTTATTTATCTAATATTTTTATTAACTTTTGTTGATTAGTTAACGGTATGGTCTAAACACTATACAAAGTAATACACAATATATGTATAGCGTTTACTACACTCAATGTATCTATACAGCTGAAAACCTAGGATTCATTATAAGATTCATAAGCATATTGACTCAATTGTTACGAAATATTTCCTTATGGCTGGGAACCTAGGATTCGTAATAAATGTTTTTATTCATAAGCATATCGACACAATTGTTACGAAATATTTCCTTATGAAAAAGATAATAACAATTAATTGACAAAAATTTATTAACACTATGTTGTATAAAGGATATGAATCGACAGAAACTAATTTAAAACAAATTTGAAAAGAAATAACTAAATAAGAGTAAGGCATGTAAAGATATATATGAATATCTAGGCCAAGCATAATCATGTTGATAACTTCAAAAGTGTAGAAATTACAGATATTACACCAGTTTCCATGTTGATTATATGAGAACAAAAATAAAGACATATATTACAGCTTACAGTAAAATCCCTTCTATCCATAAATAGGTATGTTAATTAACTTAACAAATTATTCACAAGAACTTTGAATGTAACTAAATACATAATAATTATTTGAAAATAATATTTAAAGACAAAAGAGATCGCCAGCCCATAAAGCAGAGCTAGAGCTCTAAAGCCATATACTGGAAGAAATAGAAGTTGTACACTCAGTTTGTTTGTGTTTTTTAATCCTTAACTGAATATATGAAGTATATACAAGTATAGAGATATTGCATTCTGCTGTTTACAGTCAGTCTCTTGTGTATGCATGTTATGTCAAATCGGTGTTATAGATGATGAATACAAGACTGTTGTTTGACCATAATTCTTGTTCGTGCACTATACATACATGGCCAGTAAGGGATTTTTTTTGTGATATTTAATTGTATTCTTTTGAATAAACCGTGATTTAAGGTCTAAAATCATGAATCACTTATATAGAGAAGTTGTATACCCATCACGTTGTAATATTTTGCAATAATCCATAACGTCTAAGAAAACTTACTAGATTGACATATATAAGACATGATATTTAAACATTTTTATTTAATTTTCGATTTTGATTTTAGTAAATGTCTTGTTTTCATTTCAGTTGTTGAAACATGATTAAATTGAATAAGTTGTGATTAGAAACATACACAACCAAAGGCTACAAAACCTAGAAAGGTTAAAACATACATTTTAAAAGTTTTGGGACAGCATTGCTAACCGGAAATTGTCACTGGGCTAAAGTTGAAAAGCTGGCAGGCTGTAAGAGAACTGATTTTATCCAGACAATCAAAGCATTTTATCTTAAGAGAAACACATAGACACATAGAAAACATATTGTATATACTCTTTGGCGGTAGATAGGTTCTGTCTAAACAAAGAACGCCTTCCAAACCATCTACATGAGCGCAAGTGTCTGAAATGTTTCACTTGGGCGTAAATATTTTGCAAACGCAACTTTAATCTTTTAACATAGAGCCAACGCGAACATAAAAAACATATCATGAAAATATATAGCATGTGCTTAAAATTGTATGAGATTAACACACTGCATATAACTTCTTTTTTGATGGACAAATGATACTTAAAGATGTTATTTAATGTAGTATTTAAGAATTAGAAAGTTTTGTTAAATTATCTTTTCAAACAAAAGCATTAGATCATTCATTAGCTTAACTTAGTTTTCAAATCGTGCATATGACACCAATTTTAGTTTTGAATTAATTTCTTTCGTTATCATCAGTTTCTTTAGGTAAGTATGTACATGTATACAATAAATGCATTAGGGTCTTTTCATATAAACGGCATATCTATATTCTCTTTTTTTAATGTCAAATACTTTTCATATGAACAGTATATTTATATAAAATGCCAAATACATTTCATATGACGGTATTGTGTACATAAAATGTCAGATATTTTTCATATGAACAATATTTTTATATAAAATGTCAATTACTTTTAACATGAATCGTATTTTTATATGAAATGCCAGATACTTTTAATATGAACAGTATTTTTTTTATATAAAATGGCAATTATTTTTCATATGAACGGTTTTTCTTATATAAAATATCACATACATATACTTTTAATATGAACTATGTTACATATATAAAAAAAATGTCAAAAACTTGCTATTGCAGTGCATACTTTTAATTATAAAGGGAAGGATTTCTGTTAAACTGAAGTAAAGATTAGTTTATCAGATATGTTACCTGTATTTTTGTATGCATTATGTCCTATGTTAACTTTGTCCTGAATCTGTGTCTCATTATATTTAACTTCAAACTGTGCAGCTAGCAGATTCATCTGTTTAGGAAATTATACAAGTAAAATTACATTCTTCCAAGCATTATACATGCATAACAGTTTCATTGTGCTTTGTAATATATTGATATTAAAATATGTCATGCAATAATCATAAACATGTAATCAATTGTGAGATTTTATTATTTTAACATCTTGTATAAATGTATATCTATAGACGTAATCGTATAACATAGTAACAACAAGAAAGATTAGAATCAATTAGTAAATTCCACTATTACAAAATAATTTAATATATATGTAAAACTGTGAAACTGTGATGGTATTTGAGTTTATCTAGTTTCAGATACGATTTTGCAATTATATTATTATATTTATGTTCAGAGTTTTCAATGTTTTTTTACTAAGAAATTTCCTTTTGAAATCAAAGTTAAAATTAGACCAAAGAAATAAGAAGGTATTTACCACTTGTTTGGATTTATTTCCTTTCTTTCCTTTCTTTTCCCCTGTAGTTTTTCCTGAAATATTTCAAACACTGATCACATGTCGTGATGTTACATCGTCTTTTAAATGACAGACACGCAAGTTTAATTGTTTTAATTTCAGATTCTTTCTTTATAATTGCCATATTGTCGATCAAAGGTTCGTGTAATACGAGAAACATTTCGCCATTTAGACATTCAAGATCATTCAGAAACGTATAACATAATTGATCGGAGAACGTGTGCTTACGTAAAAAGCTTAGCACGTAGAAATAAATATCTCTCTCTCTCTCTCTTTATATATATTATATATATATAATTCATTTATGAAATTATAGAAATTCAGAATAATTCAAACACTAAAAATCAAATATATCTTTTATATATGCGGCAACTTTGATTAATGTTCTCATATTTTCTTTACTTGAGTGCTATACACATAGTTAACAAAGTATACCACATTGGCCGGCTGGATCATTTGTATTGCATCGGTAACATAATGATAATGATGTAAATGTAAATGACTATTAGTTTACCTCTGTTACATCTATTTAAACATCTCTGCTTCTTTTTGCCTGTCTTTGATGAGCACTTCTGACTACATTTGTCATCAGCTCGTCTTTTCCTTGCATGTTCCTATAAAATCGAAGGATTACTTTAAAATCAAAACAAGTGAAGGGTGAAATTAAGACATACAAAGTGTTTGATATAAATTAGAAAAAAATAACTTAAAAGAAAGCAGAAAAAGGCACAGTCGCATATGTTGCAAACTCGCTTTTGTTAAGCCTTTCAATTATTTTAATCTGCTCAATACTATCTTTTGTAAGTTAGTAATTCCATCACAAAGTATGTTTATTATTTACATGTTGGCCAGTTTCTTGTTCCTCCTCTCCAGAACCTTCGGATTCAAAATTATCATCAGAATCATCATCATCAGAATCATCATCATAATCAGAGTCATCATCATAATCAGAATCAGCATCATCATAATCAGAATCATCATCATCTTGTTCGTCGGAATATTCCTCTAGTTCCTCATCGTCAAACTCGTCATCCAAATCTTCGTAGTCAATATTAACCACCTTGTCCGGAGTCGAATCTATATCATATCCCTGCACCAACTGTTCCGGTCTTTCTGTTGTTGCCGTCACAAAGTTTTTATCTCTTTTAGAAAGTTCTTCCTTATTCAATTCTTGTATCGACTTCATTTCTGCGAGCGTTTTATAACAGTAATATGCACATATGCACGAAACTATACATGCAATTACTATAGTAACAAACATAACAACATTAATTGCATCTCTGCGCTTTGTTTTCTTTTTCGTAATATACGTTTGTGGAAGCGTTAAATCGTCCCCATTTAATAGTCTTTCTTTCCCCATCGAACATGCACTTTTAAAACTTTCCATGTTTTAAATCATAAACAGAAAGAAAGTTACGATTTACAAATACACAGTAAACTATTTAGGTCTATTAGTTCTTTTATATCTGACAGAGTGTCAATGAAACAGTCCGTCTATGATCGGTAGGTTTTATATTAATTTCAGGGTAACATTTGCATGAGTTACGAAAAATCCCACACGGATATGAGTATTAGGAATTTGGTACCAGAAACTGGTTTGATGAAAAATATGACTATTTATTTTTTCCATGGAGGAACAAATGTTCCGAAATTTTAACATTCTAACATAGTATTGTTTAAACTTACCCCGTTGTAAAACAAAAAAAACTGTGGTTGGCGTATTTGTTTATGTAAAGTTATGTTACGTTCAATAGAATATGATGGTTAAACCGATCATCGGTTAATTGTAATGCGGAAGTTTAACCTAGTTGGGTAATGCATCAACGAGTCATGCCAATCATTATATTTTCTTTTACTCTTATGTGTTTGCATTAGTCACACGAAACTGATTTTTTATCGAAAATACTATCAAAAGTTTATATGACATTAGTATTTGTATTTTATTGTTAATCATTATGTGGTTACTAGATTGTATTAGAAACACAAACCATGTTTTAGATAATAAGAAATCTCCACTTAAATGATAATAGTTTTGTCCTTGATCGTTTCACAGATAATTTGAACAATGATTTGTAGATACATAAGGCCCTGATTTACATAAAAACAAATGAAAATGTGATAATTTTCATTTTTGCTCTTTAAAAGAAATGTACTTTATCTATTGTATGGCATTACCTTGATGTTTATTTAGCCCCGAAATGTTAAACTATATTGTGACATTACCTGGATCAATAAGTTTTCCAAATATTGATTCCAAAATAGAAATGTATCATTTGGAAAGTCTTAAAAGTATTTCTTGAACAAAAATATTAATCTAGTTTTAAAGGATTTAACATGAACATTCATATAATGAATAATAATATTTTGTTCTAGAATGCTTTATTATCTGGTTTATATAAATATGTAATACGGGATCATAATCTCACGCTTATTAACAAAAAATCTGGAAACAAAGTGATCCCTCGAAAGCATTAATCACAACAAAATAACATGAAAATTGCAAACTCGGTTTGATTGAGTCTGTACATGAGATATAATGAATAAGAGCAACATCCCTCAAGCCCCCTAGCACCGGCTTGAGCGGTACTCAATTCTCAACACTTAATACTGCTGACATCAATGATCCCGAAGGACCAGAAAAATATAACAACACTGAAGTGAAGTACGGGTCAACTTTTTACAGCTGCCACACAGCACTTGACACCTGCTAAAAGCCATATATGATTATTACGTAGTTTATTGTCAAGCATGATATCAGATGTAATACAACACTATAATTTGTGATATTACATACTTTCAATTGTGGACCAATTTATTTGAACGTTTGAATATCTACCATTGACGGACTCTGCAACTTGATGGATAACGAGAAAATATCATTTGAAAATGGGGAGTAGTACGTTCATTTAATATAATATTCATAAAAAATCCTGCTTTGTTGAAGTTGGGATATATGTTCTTCACTATGCCGCATTTTTACTCTGTAAATTTATATTTACTGCTTTTGTGATTTGCTTTATTCATCTCTATGTCATAGTGTTGTGAAGCACCTTCCTTGACAAAAAATCATGTCTGTGCCGGAATTCTTACTTTATTTATTTATTTATTTATTTATTCATTTATTTATTTATTTATTTATTTTTATTCGCCTTAGTATGAAATCATATTTGTTCTTATTATTATGATTTTTTTTCTACGTCGCACTTAAAAGTATAGTTCATATAGCAAATTCAAAGCAAGAAGACTGAAATAAAACAGAATAAACGGTGAACTCAACAGAGAACACTTTTTGCACTTCTGCCGATATTATAACAAATCAGATGTTGCGTATGAATCATATTTTGAAAAAGAAAAATCAAAATAATTCCCCTAAAATTACCCCTAAACAGCACATTGGAGAAAAGAATAAATAGATAAAAAGAACAGAAATGTTAACTTAAATATCGATAGTGAACATTTTGTTTTGTTAATACTTACATTTCATTGATAACCAATAAGTGAAACTTTCTGATCAATAACAAACTTATCATTGATGACACCAAACTAATCTGATGTATGTCCTATTGGCGGAACTAAGAAACAAACTAGAATTTTAAGAGGGGTGCAAAGGTTGTGAAGCCTAGTTCGCAATTTGATAGATCTATACTCTGACTTTTTATTTGAAAAATGATAAATCTTACCACAAACTGAAATGTACTCTTTTGTTAACAAATATATTTGCGCAGTTCTTAATTAAGCAATAAAAACATGTGCTTTGCTAACATTTGACTTTGTTATAATGTTTGAAATTCCCCGAATGCCACTTATATTTGATATATTTGAAATTTTTATTATATAAGATGATGTATTGTGTACAAGCCTGAAATTAAATTTCTGTTCTCGTATTGTAATCAACCAATCTGATAATAAGAATGATACAGGTTAGGGATCTGTGTATTGGGTACCGAATATATTTTTTGTCATTGCAAGTTTGTATAAAGTTGATAACTGATGTTAATGTATTGTATGATAAAATAAACACAGATACAAAATTATCGCGTTTGCTACCTCCTGATGTATTTGCTGTTTTTCTAGCATTTTTAAAAAATATTTGATACATGTACCAATTAAATGCTTATTTTGTTTATAATGTTTACAATATTCAGAAGGTCATAAATAGATTAATGACATAGAGTTTGTGTTACAGACATGGACATGGAAATGAGGCACCAAACAATGAATTTTGTTTTCTGCGGTATCCGACTTTGACGCAGCATGCATCCAAATTGATACTGATTTTCTGAAAATTTTGAAAATGTAATCACAAGTTTAATATTGTGGAGTTAACAAATAAAGTAATTTACCCATTGCAAGCGGCACTTACAATCCACGTATTTACCAGAAAGTGGTCAAAAGTAGCAATTACTGCGCCAGTCAAGTAGAAGAAATGTTTTGATAAATACGACCAAAGCAGTCATCAATCGCATAGAAAATGTACATTATTTTTTAATATTGAACCTTTTTACTTTTCTTAAAAACTAAGTACATTTTTCTCAAGTTCGATATTGTTGAAATATATTTACTCATCTGTAGGAATGTAAATTTAATATTGCATATGATGAAAGAAATCTTAGATTTATTGTCTTTTTATCAAGTATTACATTAAAGTTGTCATTGAAATATTTTAACTGTCTTGCTTTATATTAACTTTCTAGACTCGTTAATATGATATGCCATCTTATATCATATCCTATATACACATAGCAATGATACATGTATATGTGAGTAAATATGTGGTTACACTACGTACATTTGCCTTCGATGTAACTAAATAGATAGCTTTAACTTCTTATGTGACTTGTGTTTTGGGGATTTTTTCTTTCTTTTTTTTTTGTTGTTGTTGTTGATTTTGTTGTTGTTGTTCTTATTCTTGATTTTAAATGATAGTTAAGTTTCAATCAAGCATATAAATAATTTGAAAAGGAAAAGAAGCCGGGGAAAAGGGAAACTGCCACAAATTCTTGATTTGACAGATGAAACATTTCCTTGTCTGTTTGATCTCCATCTCTTAGAACATATAGCAGCAGCCTTTTACAGGGGTATTTCTGTAAAGACATTAACTGTCATCGGCATATTACAATTGTAAGAATAGTGTAGTCTTTAAAAAGAAAAATCTTCAAGACAATATTATAAATTGTATAAATATATGCTTTCATAAATATAATTATAACAGTTCCATTTGAATTGTGTTTATCTCGTATAAAAATAATATAGAAATACATGTAATCAACAATAATAATTATTTTAAACACTCGGGGAAGCATCTTATTAATGTGTTATTGCTTCAAAAGGTATGCCAATAAAGTTATATATTTAGTACCCAAATTGAGTAATATGATTGTTATTTTGCTTATTTGCCCATTATGCTTTTGTTCCGATCTTTATTATTCATCTTGAAGCTTAACATGTAAATAAATATAGCCATACCATGTTTAGACTACTAAAGGTTCATATTTTTAATATTTCTGTTTTGTTCTGGTACATATTTATCTGTAGAAATATAAAAACATCGCACTTTAAGGAAGACTTTTACTTTTGACGCATTACCTTGCCCAAAAATAGCCTGTGATTTTAAACTGATGAAATATTAACTTCTCATTACCTTTTTTATGAACATTTTTAACTATGACCTGTTCCTATTTTTGGTAGAGTCATAAACGGGTTTTATGTCGTTTCCGGTTTGACATAATAAAACACCAGCCGTTTCCTCATTAAGATATTCCTTGTTCCGTTTACTTACATGATGAAATACTGTTTGTATCTAAACACCTTTTTTCCTAATTTTGTTATGACAAATGTCCTTAAGACATTGCCATACGCCGGAGTAACCATTGGTATTAATGCATCATGATAAGTTAGTATGTTTAAATTCCATTACAGCTGTGTTCTTTAAGGATTTGTTCAAGTTCTGTTTTAAAAAATCGAATTTTTCTCAAATAAGTTTAATATGTGCATTTACTTTGACAAATCAACTGAAATATTTCAAATTGATTTAAGCGCAAAATACGCACCATTATTGGTTTGAAATTATTCATATTGATGTAATATAAAATTTTGAATATCTAATCTTATTAAACTATTAAACAGGTAATCATTAATTAGAAATATGAAAAAATAACACAAAAAACCCTAGTAAACCAACCATTTGTTTTCAGACTACAGCAAAGGTTTCTTTTCCTGGTAGACGGGCAACTTGGCGTAAAGATTTGGAAAGTTAAACAGCCATGAAAAATACTCAATCTTCATGATAAATCTGCTTCCGTGATATTATCATAACAGACTCAAATAAAGGGTTTGTTTAAACATTATTTCCATATCTTTGCACTGTTCATACTAAACGGGACACTGATTTACAATCAACAGTGCAACAATATCTATAGTAATAAAATCTTGAAACTAAAACATTAAATGAACTCCACTGAGGTCAGAAGCCTATAAAACATTCAATTTGTGTTTCTAACATAAACCAGCTGGGCATTGCATTTAAAACAGAAAGACATGCAAAGGATTATCAAGAAATATACTCAGAAATAAATTGAAAATCATATTTTGTGCATTTTCGATTTGAGTAAAAAATAATTCAACGTCTTTCAGATTCTGATCATTTTTCATAAATAAAGTAATTATTCTGGAAAAACAGAGTGAGCGAATGATCTGATAATTTGCACGCAAGTTCTTGGTCTAGCTTTAAGTCAAAAGAAAAATTAGGTTCGGAAAGTTATTTCCGGCTCCTGCATGTCAAATGCCCTCAGTAGAGTCAATTTAAAGTAATACAGCGCATCCACCAATTATGCGAGAAATGTTTGTTTCATATGTTTGTCATTTGAATAACAATATATTTAACCACAAATATTGACATCTGCTCTTCTGTTAACAAATATGTTGTAGTGTAATTCTTATGGTATGTACTGATCTGAATTAGAATTGGACCAGGTCAGGGATCTTTGCATTATGTCCGTCAAAACACCTTGCAATTAGCACAAATAATTATAACATTAGTGTTAATATGATTAATACAGATGATCCAGATAAAAAAAATGAATTTTTACAAATGTATTGTTTAATTTAACTGTTAAAAACATATTATGATAACTTTATACAATTTGCTCAAATGGTATATTATTATACTGTTACAATAGTCATTTTAGTGTCAGTATTTAGTTTGTACTTTGCGTGGTCTGGCTGTCAATATTTGTATACGGTATCAATTTGACAGTTGTTTTGAAATACGATACGGTAATAAATCGATTTAAATTACCAATACGTTGAGAGCTTTGTAGATGGTTTTAAGAGATAATGAAGTTTGTGAAATATTACCTGCTAAATAAGCTCAAAGACATTATAAATCAAAACTAGCAAAGTTAAATTAAATAGACTAATTGTAGGCCATACGGGTTAAATATATAATATAACTTGTCATTGATTGCATATGCATAACCCCAAGTTATACGGACAATGCGTTCATTTTGTTAAAATGGTCCTCTTATTTTTGTTAATAAATGTTTTTTTTTTTTTAATATTGCAGGGCAAAATCGTGATGCAGTAGAGATATTTATAAAGATTCGAATCTTAAACTGTGCTGAACTATTAGAAAAGCAGGACACCGCACAAGCGCGATGAATTTGTATAGAATTGGCCTCTATTGGTAGAGGACCACTTTTTCAAAGACAAATGCTATCATATCAAAAACAGTTGTGTTTGTATATTCTTTTATTTTCTATTGTCAAACATCTTAATCTTTTCTTTTAAATATCATTTACTTTTCTGCTTTAAATGATTGTAAATGTATTCATGTTGTATATACAATGATTTTACTTCTATTATGATATTAACATACACGTATATACAAAGTCTCGCGAGTGACAATGTGCCTTTTGAATTATGCTATCTATTTATGATATGTTGTATAAACTGTATCACATTGATGAGATTATAATAAAAAATAAAATAAAAATGTGATGAAATATTGAAATCGTTTAATTCACATTGACTCTTTGTTAAACATGTCCTTCTCGTTCATAATTAATTTGCTTCTGTCTAGGACCTTATATCATATGACCATACATGTTACTGTTAAGAAGACACAAATAAAAGGGTGATTTCGAAAAAGAAACGCTTTCTCAACTATCTACATTGTTGTATTTATCAAAAATTAAAATAGTACGCAATTCATTATTTTCCTCCTTATGAAAACTCGGGTAGAACTCAGATTAGAAATGTTATACATTTGTTGACGAAATGAAATGATGATTATACATTTATAAGTTAAACGTAACGACGAAAGTATAAATAATTTGTAGTTTATTCGATGCTAATGTTTGGATCGTTAATGCATTATTTTTTGTCTTTGGTATTTTGGATAGGCATGGTTTCAGGTGTATTCATGGACTATTTGCGATACTAAAAGTATGACATTATCTTGCTTTTACTGATATCATTTTGATTATATCATTATACAAAGGATGTTAATACTGTTGAAATGTTCTAACACTTTTGGGCAATTTATTTTAAGAAATTTCGATTGAAGTTGAAGATTTTATGCTGCGTTAGTTTGTTCTGTTCTAGGATAATAATGACATGTTGGTTCAAACATGTTTATTCAACATATTAACATTTAACATGTTAACAAATATTTACAAAATACATTTTGGGATCGGGCAGAACCTATAAAAGCTTATGAGTGTCCTCTCCCGTTGAATTTTCAATGTCTATTATAAATATTCCCAATCAAATTAATATGCAATTTATTATAAACAGAGTTCTATTCAGTTCTTCATCTAAAGCATAAGTATGTCATAAAGACACCCATATTGATTTGGCATAGAGGAATATTTCGTTCAAGATTTTCCTTGAATTGAATTGTGAACATTTAGAGGATTACGTGATTAATACCGATCACATTTTTAAAGATATCTGTTGCATATTAGGACATAAAATTGTGTACTAGTCTATAGCAAAGATGATAAAAGCACATCTTATGTTAAAGAGGTTATTTACACATCATCATTACATTGCAAGCACTCTACATGTTCGGTTTTTCCATTCTAAAAATAGATATATTTTGGGTTCCTATGATATATATTCCGATCCATTTTAAGATCCCATGAAATATTTCGTATATATAAAACGGACCCAACCCTAAATTGATCGCATTTTCTAGTAGGCGGTTGTGGCCATATTTGTTCGGATATATTTTATTTTCATAGTGTATATGTGATATGTAAAACAACAGACTTGCTAGTTTTCTTTGTATGAAAATGAGCAGCAGTGGAATAAATATTCATGAAACGATGTGAAAGAAATGTGGATTATGGATTTAACTTTGCCAAACGTATTCTTTTATAGGAGTAACAAATCATATTAGTTTTGAAAACATTGTAATATATTAGAGTAACGTTTAGTTCAGAAAAAAAAATTTTGGACGGAATATACGTGAAACAATATTAACTTTCACGTCACTTGAATTTTTCATGCCATCATGCTTGTTTATACATGTAATCACAAAAAACTACTGTTTTAGTGATAATTGTTTTTTTGTATTCTTAAACTGTTTAGTAAGTACGTTTATAAAGACGTTTAAACTTTAAGATTGTATAAACTATGGCCTAACATCTCAATAATTTTGTTTTTAAAATACAAATACATGTAGAACAATTTTAACAAGCAAGCATGCCTACTTTGAAATCGCAAACTAATAAAATATGATATCAAGTGGGGAAATACATTATCTCAATTTGGCACGTACAGCATTTCTTTTAAAATCAAATAATCGATTTTATGAAATGAAATTTAGGGCACATTTTTAAGGCAAGACACAAGTTGTCAAAATAAAGTTAAAAAAAAAGTTCGTATCGGATCAAATAACACCTTAAATATCATATACAGTAGATTGATCTAATATTAATGCGCATTTAAGATTAAGTGTCCTATTTAAATTCAAACATTCAAAACAGTCAATAATTTCAGAAATCATTTTAACCTAGTTTAAATTCAAATGACATGTACAATTTCGAGGAATTGAGTCTATATTTAGATTTGCACGTAGATGGGTACACAATTGAGGACATTCACCCGTTAAACCCAAATTGTCAATCACGTGACAAAAGTAACTTTATACACCTGATCATAAAAGTATGTAACATGTTTACATTTTATCTTTAAATTCCCCAGATAAAATAATTTCAATACTGCAAAAAATGAAAGGTAAATTTTCGATAATGGTAGAGAATAAACATGTATATGGTAAATTATGCAATGTAAAGTATCGACAAGAATAAGGGAAATAACTCAAGAGTTGTAACATAAACTACGGGCGCTTAAAACGAAATATCGTAGAATGATAATGCATGCATTTTAAAATGTGTTCCATCATTGAACTTATTAATTTCATCTATCTCGCTGCAAGTAAATATGTACTATTAGTATTGCTTTTGTATGTTTTAAGAGACACGAATTTACTATCTTTCTACCACATTGTCATAAACTTGCATTCGCTAATTTGGTGTATTATTTCTGTGTTGTTGTTGTTGTTGTTTTTTTTTAGGGAGGGGGATTATTTCACATATCACTTCACAAAGTGTCATTTTCACAAGTTATATAAAGAAACCAAATAATTTGGAAACATTTTTAAACGTTTAATATTATTTTAAGCAATAACAAAAATATGTCAATTCATATGTAACATATTACATGATCATCATCATACAATAAATGACAAATATTATTTAACCATTCTGTAATCATGATTGAAGAAAACATTTTAGATCATTATTACAGACATTTCTGTATACATACATATATATACAGCTATAATATACTGCGAAACGTACATGTATACTTTCAGTTTATGAGATGAAATATTTACAAATATGAAACGATATATATAAAACCACCAATAGATATAAAAAAAGAAATGTGTACTTTAAAGACATGTTTTGCTTTACAAAGAATGATATGGAAAAAAAGTCCGACATATGAAATGAATTTGTACAATTTCGAAAAAAAATAGTTATATGTTTCTAATGTTAGGTTAATAAGTGAATATATATTTCAAATATTTAGATAAGTATTAAAGAAATAACATTTAATCATCTAAGTGAAAATATATTTCAAATATTTAGATAAGCATTAAAATATTAACGTTTAATTAACTAAATGAACATATACATTATATTTTTAATATTTAGATAAATATCATATTGTAACTGTATTTTTAACATAGATCAAAATGTAGAAATATGTAATATAATTAACATATAGAAAAAACATGAGTATATATTTTTAAAATATTTGAAGTGTAGAAGTATTTTTGAGCCATAAAAATATATAAAATAGTACTTTTATATTTCCCAGGACAAATTTGAAAAATATATACCAGTTGTGACGTAGATTTATTGCATTCAACGGGCATGGTAAATAGTGTATTATTTGTACAAATAAAAATATATTTAGATTTTTTTTGGACAACTAGCACTTTAGAAAATGGATTGCAATATTTTGACAACCATAAAACATATTTGTAGCATTTAGTGAACAATATTTAACATTAATCTAGGCTACAATATTTATACCAAAGTTATTCATTTTCATTTCGGATCTGAGTTGTTTCGTTTTGAATTATTCTAACAGAATACATGCATATTTCTTTCTTTTGCAAGTACTTAAAAATATGTAAAGGGATTTACATCAGTCCCACGTGACTTGTTCTTCAATCAACAAAATATTTCACTGTGTTTGTATATGCTTATTGTATATAATTATGTTGTGCAATTTGAAATAAATATTGTTTGAAATTGAAACAACAATTTAACTTTATAATAGCTAAAGGAAGATTTAAACATATTTATTTTTATGGATATTTATTTTAATCTAATTTTTGTTGATGATAATTAAAAAAAATGTAACGATAAAAAATAGTTATATAATGATAAAATTAATGATAATATTTAAACAATAAATGATAACAAAAACAACGATATTTTCAACTGATATGCAACAATTAAATTTAACTATAAGATAACATTAATTGTTCAAAGTATCTTTTTACACCCACAATTGATAAATGCCCAGCTGTTGTTTTAAATGGTAGAATAAATGATATGACCATGTAGTCATTGTTTTATTATTATTATTTAGATTAGATGTGTTATGTTACGAAATAAGTATTTCCGGAGCGCCCTATTAGAACATTTCGAGACAAATATTCTTCTCCCGTCTTTAACATTTAAAAATTGAAATATGGATTTATTTGGGAATAATTTACATTAATATATATCTGACAAAGGGGGGTTCGGATATAACAAAATATGTTGAACACAGATTACATGTAACAATGACAATGAAAATAAAGTAGAGAAAATAGAGGAAAAAGAGGGGTAATTGAAAAGATGCTTCATTTATGATCAATAACCTACTTATATCTTGAAATCAATACAAACAGCTATGATGAAAAAGAAAAATACTAAACACTGTAAAAATAATTGGTAGAAAAGTCGCTTCGTATTCAGTATCAACAGGAGATTAGGCCTTGCATGTAAATTAAAAATTCTTTTAAGACATTGTCATATTTCTAAAGAAACCAAATAAAGAACATATTGAAGCAGGTAAAGAAGACAGTGTTAAAACAATTCTAATCTTTCGTTTCCTACGTTGTTATTACACAAAAATAATTAATAATATTTCACATTTTACTAGTTGCTCTGTAATCGCAGCCACAACCGTGGTATCAAATGTACAATGCTTTGACATAAAAATGAAGTATATTTAATATTTAAGTGTATTATTATTATTTATATTGACTGCAATACACCTTGTAAAGGGGGCAATAAATGTAACCGTTTTAAAGTATGAAATAAAATTAGCTTGCTTAATTGGCCAGGGTTATATATAAACTATATTTTTATTACTCTCAAAACAATAAAATTAATGTTGTGTAAGAGAATTATACCATTTTCAAAAGGCTACAAAAGTCGTATCAAAAGTGCACCGAAGTACATATGATTAGGGTTCAAACTTAAGAGTGTTACTGTGTCAAGTAATTGTATTTCTATTGTATCAGTTTCCTTTATCTGTACAACCCCTCCTAATGTACAAGGTTTTCCAATTCCTTTCATGCCAGGTAGGGTTTCGTTGCTCGCACATTTAAATAGGTTCAGAATTTCAAACCCGCTTTTTGTTTTGTGAACCATGGTTATTCCCAATTCTCTTGATATTCGGAATTGTGCCTGTAGCAGAAAAAGAAATCTATTGTCTGGCTACAAGTAATTGATGAATTGTGATGGAAAAATGAATATTTGAAAAATATGGGAGATAAGCTGAGAATAATCGAGTTAAAAAGGAAATATGGAATTAGATTGTATGATTGTTTTATTTATGATCATGTTTTCTCATAGGATGAAATAAAAGACCCGTTTAAAAGTAATGCGTGGAAGTTGTTAGTAAAAGCAATGTGTATTAGTTCGTTTTGTTTTCATGAAAATATACATGGTGGTGAATGTACCTCGTTTACAAATCTGGTATCCTATTTTTTTTTTCAAATATAATCAAGAGAATAATGTAAAAAAAAAATGTTACGTGTGACTTGTAGCTTTGAAAATTTTCAAGTTGTCCGTTTTAAAAACAGAACAAAAATGAATTCTATATACAGACTTACACATATGTAAATCGTCTTGTTAACAAAGATTTGATTACACATAGTCATTTGGCAGGTGAAAACAAAAATGTTTTTAAGCATCACTTCGGAGTGATTGATTTGTATTTTATATAATCCGAGATATAAATGATAATTGATATAAAAACAGTATAAATCTTTAAGTGAAAATGACAGTCAAGACAATAAGTGATTTTCATGAATTCGCTTATTATATGTGCTCACTTATATATATACAAAACACGAGCCAAAGGTACACTTTATATTTGTGCGTGCCAAAGAACAATGTGTGCCTATGAATATTGTACATATAGATGGAAAACATATGTATTACTAGATCACTAGTGTACATCAAATAGTGATTGTCCGAACATTGTTTGTCTAAGTATTATACAAAAATATAATATAATTGGTGTAATACAGGTGCTTTTATCAATTATGGTTCGTAAATAATGTTTGAAAAGCAAACAGAAAGAACAGACTTTATAATACAGGGTTTATAATGACTAAGGTGGTTCATGACAAAATATAACAGATGATTGAATTATGAATACATTATGAGTTTGGTGTTGAGATGTAGATGGCGCCAAAATATGTTGCGTCATAAGTCAGATCTATACACGTGTTTTTATATAAACTTTGCATAGCAATGTTATCTCCTTGATTCAGAAAGAGCACACCATTGACACTGCATGACTTAAATTTGGCATTTTGCCCAACTTTAAGCTGAGGGTTCACGAAGTCCACGCTTTCCATGCATCTAAACACGATCGATTCTTTCCCTTTATTTTCACGTTCCAGTCCCTTTTTACTCTCATGTAATAAACCAATGGCCATTCTAGTCTTCACGTCGTAAAAAAGGACCTGCAACATGAAAATAAAGGTTGTGAATCAAGTGTTTTGGACTCAAAGTTTCAAGAGAGAAAATACTAATTTTGGACAAAATAAAACTTTATCATTCTACGCCTTCCTGTAAAGAGATGAATACATTTTACAATATGTATATATATGCATGATATAAAATAATAGTATGTATGATGAAAAATGATATTAAAGAATAATGTATCATAATAAAATAACAAAGTAATAATAAAAGGATAATCATTTTAGGTGTTCATAGAATAGATTAGAATAGATTTATAAGTAGAATAGTTTTTGTACAATCATAATAATGATTGAAGTATCATGATTTTGTTAAGAAGGCCTTTCAAGGAAGCTACTTAAAGATATCACGATTTCTTCGGATTTTGCTTTATGGTGTCATCATATTTTATTTCACATTCTAGTTTTTGTTTCGTACTCCTTCAACATATCGTTTAAATTAAGTTCAGGTAGCCAGTTCATGATATAACAAGTGAAGTGTAGTCCTTGTTACATAGTGTTTTATGCTTTTAAGCACCGATTAAGGTTTCCTTAAACATATCCGAGGCGTAAACTTATGTTCTTCAGGTTATCTTAGTTTGTTTACATCCTCTTCTCAAAGGATTTTAAGTATTTGACTGATCTTGAACGTCCACTGATAGATTACCCCCAGCCTGCATTTGACAATATGTACATTACCACCCCTACAATATATACCTTACCAACTCTATACCCCCATGGCTTTATCAAAACGATTATAATTGCAATTCAAATACCTGACTATGTAACAGATGACAAATTAAGTACCGAGACTAGTAATGGGCTATTTTATTGCGCAACAGATGACAAATTAAGTACCAACTAATGGACTACTTTTTTGGGTTAGGAATACATACGTGAGCATACAGATGGTATAGGCCGGTCTGCAGTGCTGTAAACTTGCCAGTTAATTGGTCAAAATCAAACAGTTTTGGTGTCGTTGAATTCCCCATCCAATCAGCTTCTCTAAAGAATCGTAATGTGAGAGGTGCAGCTAAAACGAAAATGTTTTAAAAATTACATATATATTTCCCACTGCTTCTACTCTCGGACTTTAATGACAAAATTTCACAATTTATCAAACTTATTAAAATATAAAGCAACCAAATACGTTCAATTTGTTAATATTTATTATATTCAGAACGCATGGTCAAACTGTTTACAAAATAAGTCAAATAGTTAATAAAAAACTATTAATCCTATGGTGGTTTAGGATATATTGGGTACTGGACCGCATGCGAACGTTTTTTAGTTTTGATTACTCTAGTTTTCAATCAATATATACACTCAATTTTCTTTCCTGCAATCGTTTGATTATGTTTTGTAAAAATGTGTGCATGTAATTTTAACATGAGCATGGCGAATGGAAACAAAGTCCTATAAACAGTTACGTATTTAAATGGACAAGAACACTTTTGGGGCAATTTTTATGCTTAATTGTATGTGCATGTATGTATTACATTTCAATATAGGGTGCGTGCATTATTTCAATTTTCGATTATCTTTTTATAAACCCATATGTTCCAATCTTACAAAGAATCAATGCAAACAAAATACTATCCACTCAATATTTATATTTTCATTTTTTATGTATGAGTCATGCATTAAAGTGATTGTTAATTTATATGATTAATTTATTGGATTATGTCTCTTTTTTTATAAATTAATTGATATATAGCGATATATAGCGTTAGTAATATTTCCTGATGATATAATTGATATAACTGTATCGAACTATAGCTAAATAGGAATAAAATATTAATTATATATGATTTATATATTTATTTTATATGATTTAATAAAATATAAAATAAAACAATGATTGTACCGGTTGTGATGAAAGTTCTATTTCTATACAATATACCCTGCCAGTCTGGTTTATCAATAAACATCTCTGAAACGAAATATATTTTTTGTTAACTTTGGCATTTATTCCAAACTTAAATTGCATGCACATATTCATAATTAGAGCGTTTTATCTATTGAGTTATATGTATTTTTTACAATGATTGAGAACAAAATACATGTTTTCAGTTCGAGGTTTTAAGTTTTCAAAAGCTTGAAAACTAAATTAAAGTGTTTGGTATTTAGTAAATTAAGTAAATTAAAGCTCAATGTAAAGCATGCTTTTTGTAACTTTGAATTTGATACTGATAACTCAGCACGTACTTTTCATATGTAGTATACTTAGAATATATTTTGTTTCGTTGTTTTTTTAATCAACATTAAAGTACAAATGTATGATTTTGCATCTTATATACATATAATTTAGCATTGCATTAATTAATCAAATAGATAAGAAATGTGTGTAAATTCGATATACAGTTATAGATTATAAGATGAAAAACGACTTTTTATTTTTATGTAAGGTCATCATATAAAGAAATGTTGATATATAGTATATTGAATATATAACATACAATGACAATGGTGTGTTTTCGGGGGTTGTTAAAGGGTTTCCTGTGTATTGAATCTTTAAAGCATAATAACTTTATCGAGTGTTAAACGTCGTGTGTGGGGAACACTCTGTCTAGGTATCTTTTTGTTCTGTGTTTAGTGCTTGCTTTTTGATAGACAGGGCACTTGAGCCCGTGTAACAAGGTAACAAGACATTTTATCCACCATAAAAGGTGGATGGTTTTGTCATAGAACGTATAATCATGCTTCAGTTGAAATATCTATAATAAATGTTTCTGTTGTGAAGAGTAACATCATAGTATCATCATTATTACTATTATACGAAAGCCGCCATATAAATGTGCATATATTTTTGTTGAGCTATTAACTGAAAAAATCTTAGTATCTCCTATCAAAATATAGTTATACTGATGGATAAATAAAATGGCAATTTCATGAGGTTTTTTATCCTAATTTGACTTAAAGCCTGAATGTTTACAAATATTTTCATGTTCATTAATTTAGCTATTGTTTTAAATAATATTTTTATATTGAGAAAACGTTCAGTTAAGATCGTGATATGCCGCATACAAAAAGAATTGCATGGTAGAAATTAATTCAGTTTTGTAAAACCATAAACATTTTAAATAGCATTATTCACATGAACAGTATTTTGATTTTCTAGTTGTACCTATAATTTTGATTATTCTGTTTAATATACAACTATTTTTGCAGTGTCTTTTAAGCAGTGAAGAATTTAGCTCTGTGTGCTTAACTCAAACATGTGCTTTTAAAAGTGAATAAATCAAAACAGTGCAGCACACGTGGTTATTCTGCTATACCTTCGTCTGACTCCTCGACTTCTAATTTCTGTGCTTCGTTTTCTTTTTCTAAAGTAAATATCAGTGTTTTCGGCTTTGAATGCATATTTATTATTACTTTATACTTAGCTTGTTCGAATCTTTTTAAAACGTATATCTGACACTAAACATGCTTTGTACTAAAATGTTAGTAAACGTATTCAAATGTTTTGCTTATGTAACATGCTAGTACTTTTTCTGTCTTTACATCGTTTCTTTATTACACTGTATTATATATTATTGCATTGGTAATTCGTTACATAATATTACATTTCTGCACAGAAAAGCATACATTCTAATAAGTTGTCGATTACATGTTTGTATTTCAAGAGTATTTTAAACAATTAAACATATTAAGCTTCTTTTTTATCAAATTATTAACACTATAATCATGCATACTACTATTTTAGGAACGTCAATGTTGAACTGTAAATCCTTAACATTTCATGACAATAAATGCATGTATGGTATTATAAAAAATTAATGGGTGTAGGCTAACATCAATTATATTTCAATGCCAATACCATCAAGGCAAACCTAAGCCTAATTAAAGAAACATCAAACAATTGTCGATTTATTGATTACTTTCATTTTTAAAATATTGTTCAAAATCTACAGTGGGTCAAATTCATTGTACAAATACTGGCAATGATTTAAAGAACGTATCAATTCTTAATGCTGTTTTAAACACATAACAGTAAATTGGTTGATAATGAAATGTATTTTATGTCATAAATAATTATGATGATAGCATATAGTATCAAGCGAGACAACAAACCACAAACAAGTAATAGTTTGTTGTTGTAGGAATACATGATCAGGTATGACATGTCAATAAATAGGAGATAATAAACTGTTCTAGTACAAATTATCATAATTCATGTATTAAATCACTTAGAGGTCTACCAACATTTTTTTCAGGAATATTTTATAAGGATATCTAAAATGATACATTTCTATTGTTTTTTTATCAATATTTGAAATACTAATGGAAAATGTGCAAGTTGTAGACCAATCCACTTTAAATGCATGTCAAATATAGTGTCTATAGGCATGTTAAATTATGGGTTTGCGACCAGCATGGATCCAGACCAGCCTGCGCATCCGCGCAGTCTGATTAGGATCCATGCTGTTCGCTATCAATTTCTCTACTTGTTATAGGGTTTGTAAGCGAACAGAATGGATCCTGATCAGACTGCACGGATGCGCAGGCTGGTCTGGATCCATGCTGGTCGCAAACCCATTATGTTGGTTTTTTTCGTGAAGCAGCTCAATTATAATACTTACTGGGTTTATTTTTCTCAAAATCATGATCCAACTGTCCAAACTGTTCATTGATATAGTCTGTACCTACATATGTTGTGTAATGGGCTGCAGACACATACTGAAAAACAATTGTGAAAGCAAATGTCATACATATGTGTAGTTATGGTAAATGTTATCAAAGATCAAATAAAACATTAGAAAAACCCATGTACAAGCATTAAGACGGGTATTTATGGTTTGAATGAATTTTATGTTTTACAATTTGTGATTTATACTTATATATGTTGATCAGTTGTCATTTAAAAATCTATAACTATTTTGTTAACATATGACATTAAATTTCGCAATAATGCTTAATGAATGATGTAATAACTGACATACCCATACAAGTCCCTCAATATAATCTTATTATTATACAGAGGATCTGTTTAGTTTTATTAAGTAAATGTTTCAACTTACTGTTGGTAGTTTCTTTTCAGGGATCTCGGTAGTAACCACTGAAAATTTGAATTGAAATAATGTAAAGTTAGTAAGCAAACAATTATTACTCCAGTATTTTAATGTAGAAATCCTGTAGTTAAATAATTAATCTCCTTTTTCTAAACAGTTACAATTTCATCGAAACTTTTACAGATTTATTTTTTCAAAAAATATAGAAAAACTGCTTTTATATTGATTAATAATATAACAAAAGTTTTGAACTAAGGACTTATTTGTTTGAAATGAATAAAAGGTTGTACTCGTCTTGCCTGACCTTTATTTATATGCACATAGCCATTTTAATTTCAAAGTAACTGTTTAGTGTTAAATTTTAAGATATTATAGATTGTATTTTTTTACGCGGATGAAAAGGCGGCTAGGTTAATGATATTTTCATATTTCATGTGAAATCATATGAATCCATCAATTGGCATAATTGGAAGTTGTATACAGTTATAAAAAACTGATGTAACCTGGTGTGGTAGTTGTGCTTTGTACTGTTTTAGTTGTTTTCGGCTCTGGTACTTTCAACTTAGTCTCCACTTCTTTAATTTTTGTGTCAATATACTCGCCAAGCTTCTTTGTGCAACCTGGTGAACAAAATATCAATTATACAATATCTGACATTACTCTTATTTCATATCAGAAAATTAGTTATAGCTTTTATAATTTCTTAATAATTTAAGCTTACATGAAAGTACATATAACCATATATCATGTATATGATTAAACTCTCCATTACGTACCAACTATTGTTCATCAAAGCCTCCACTGCTGGCATCTCAATACATGAATGATTGAAATGACTATACAAACTTTGTTGAGTATTCTACTATGTATGTGCATATTTTATTTATGATCTATATTTCATTTTGTTTAATTCATTTCCTAATTTTACTTATTTCGTTTTAAATTTTTATTTTTTTTTTATTTATTTATTTATTTATTTATTTTTTTTTTTATATATTTTCGAAAGGTTTAAGTATTTTCATTACAACTTTTTATTGACTTTAATATATATCGAACAGTGCATACCAGGATCAAACTGGCACAGATGTACCGGATGATCTTGGTCTGCACATGTTGCAAGGGTAGAGTCTGAGCCGCCAGCAGGCAATGGGTTCATACTTACAATCACAGGTTGACATTTTTTTCTTTGAGCATTTTCTTTGACCTTTCTTGTCTTTTCGAGCCTTTCCTTTTTTCTTGCCACCCTTTCTTGCCCTTATGTATCTTGTATTCTGGAGAAAAAAAACAACAGAATTGGTTTCAAGCTTGTACATTATTTGTTCTAATCTTAATATTTTAACACAACTTCAGTATTTATAGGTGAAAAAAGGGATCACTTCTCTTTATAATGAATTTAAGCATTTGGTGTGACAAATCTTTTTTTTCTACTTTTATGCACTATTTTCATGACAATATCAGGCATTTTTTGTTGAGAGATGTTCGTCCCGAGCAACTTCATAAATGATACCATACAACCTCAAATGTATTTTTTTGGGGGCAAAGGCGTAGATTGTAAATACAGGGGACATATCTGAATTTGGAAAGGTGTGTTTAATCTCATGTATTGCCTTCAGTTTTAATTAATTCATATTTGTCTACTGGAAGCCATCTGATCATTATTTTTGTTTTCTTGTCCTTTATGTTTGCGACCTTACTCGACTTACGTCTCTGAGGTCATCCATGAAGAAAGGTCACGTATAAGTGGTATAATTTATACAAACCCGCCACAATTATAGTATATCGTTTATGAGCTCTTATTGAAGTACAACAGATACAGAAAAAAATATAGAAATTAACTTAGGGTTCAGAATATTTAGGGGAATTCCTTTTGTATCATTTTTAGTTATAAATAGATTGGTTCTTTGAACTAAAGGTGATACCACGTATTTGACAAAATAAACATTGCTCTTGTGATAAGTATATGTTATTACACATGTACATTTATATGCATATAAGATTTATATAATGACAATTAAACTACATTTTCTATGTAATCTAACCATTAGCTGTAATTAATGTTCCATTTGCTTCCGATTGATATTAAAAACGTGCACCGAACAGTTTTTTCTAATGAATCTTAAGGCGACCTTCAGCTTTTATTTGTTGTTGGAAAAACAATTCTGAGTTGTTTCAAACTTAGTATATCAGTGACTTTATCTTGGAAAAGTGCACCATATCACTGATAGGCCTTCTTCAAAACAGCGTTCCAAAAGCAATTCAAAGGGCGGCAGTGATTTTAAGGGGCGGACCGGCAGCCTAGAGGTGGCGACGCTTCCTTTTTTGTATATGTACTTTATCGACAAACAAGTTTCATTTTCTACCATGATTCTTTTGATTTTACAATCGATTTGAATGATTTATCTAAAAATAACTGAAAATAAAGAAAAGCTGAAGGTCCAAGAACTACTCAGTTTGTAATATAACATAGTGGAAAGTGTATGATATTTATAAAGATAATACTTATAGAAAACAATGTCAAGTGTAACGTAAGTAATATAATATATAAAAAGAACTGAAAGAACACGCGACTTAATTGTTTCAAACTACAAACACAACCGCTGACCTAGTTTCTCCCACGGCGCACTTATGAAATAAGGATTTTTTTAAACTATATTTAGGAAATATGATAGTAAAAATCAAGGTCGCAGTACTTTATCACTAGTTTCGTATAAAGATTATACAATAGAAAGTCTTCCTGGATGAGTTGGCCTCGTTTTGCAATCTTCTGTCGAAACTTACTACTATTTACAACGGTTTCGAAACATGAAACCATGGATAGTGTTACAGTCAAATCTGCACAAAGGTACACACGCACAATTATAATCATTTACCAATTAAATTACAAATACAATACTGAAAACATTATTGTGCGTTGGCACTATTTTGGTTTGACCGTAGGCTTGAAATGCGTATTTGTTTTGTTTCATTAAAAAATCCAACATAATAACGTCCAGTTTAGCTTCAATGCTGATCGTTTTGGTTTGTTAATAAAACAATTTATTTATTTATTTATTTATTTATTTATTTATTTATCTATTTATTTCAGTTGTTTTAATATGTACTTATCTTATTTTATTGTTTAAATTGCATTACACTGTATACCATTATACATTGCAGTGAATTATATAATATAAAATTTGTGATAAATATTGTATTATATTGTATACTTGTATAGTATTATATAATTGTTTTGCATTAATTTATATTACTGTATATTATTATTGCATTGTATAATTGTAACGCATTGTTTTGTAAAATTGTACTTTATTGTATAATTGCATTGCATTGCATGGCAGTGTAGTATAGTATAGAGTTTGTATTGTATTGTATTGTATTTTTTGTATTTGTATTTTGTATATTGTAATTTACTGTACTGTACTGTACTGTATTTGTATTGTTGTATTGTATTGTATGAAAACTACTGTTATTTTATAATATTAATGGTAACAAAGATGTGCATATTTATAACACTTTAAGTGCTTCTATAAAATATGAAAAAGAACAGAATTATTTGTCTTACGTTGCATTATAAGAGTAAAGAAAAACAACCGTTTGTGTGTTTTCATTGTTGTCTTTAACATATTTTCATTTTAGTTATATTTCATTTTCTATTTCCTTTTTTTTCTTTCTTTTTTTATCTCTGACAATGCATATTTGAACTATGCACCTGTATTTTAAGATGATGATGATTGATTATTATTCTTTAAATATTGTGTGCATCAGTGTATATATATTTGAATCAGGATATATATGATAAGTTGTTTAATATAGAGCTGGTCATGAAATGGTGCCAAGATATTTTGTTTATTATGTTCCCTCCCCGCTATACCCTCAATGTGTTGTACTGTCATTTTGTTAAAACATGACTGTCGTCAAGAGCAGATTGTCTTATGGAAGATGCTAAGCTTTTAATATCCAAGCAATTTGTAAATGAAATGGTGATTTAAATGATAAAGACTATTGTCAGTTAAATGACATGTCCCTTCTACATCATATATCCAAATCTTGCCGAGGACATTGAATTCTTTGACATGAAAATGCTGCCATGCTAGATCATGGGAAAATGTGGTTTTATACATAGATCCCTGACCTGTCTTATTCGAATGACCAGATTAGTGGATACTATAAGAATTTCACCACAAATATTCGTTCAAATAAAAAGTCAGAGTAGGGATCTATCAATTCAGACATCCTCTCTTGCCCGAATAAATGTTGGCGTGGGAAGTGGGTACCCGGTGCCTGGTATATCATTTTCAAGTTCAAGTGACAAATTGCCAAATGGTATAAATTTTTGAGTAGAAGAGAAAATCTATCATAACGAATTTTTGTATATTGTATAAGCTGACCAATATTATTGATAGATCCCTACTCTGAAAAAAATTATTTGAATGATAATAATAGATTTAACCACAAATATTGACATGTGTTTTTTCTTAACAAATATGTTGTGGTGAATTGCGTATTGTATCCACTTATCTGATTATTAGAATAATTAGAATTAGACAGGTCAGGGATATATGCATTGATCTTTTTTTGGTACAACAGAATCGTATTGTTTTTAGAATTGTGTTAAAATGTAAAAAAATACTGCAGATTAAGTAAAGGTACAGTCTTAAATTACAGGGTGGTAAAATATAAATGTGTTCACGCTTGGGTAACAATAACGTGTAAATCATATATATTTAAAACAGTGTTTATGTCAAAAATAATACTATACTCTGTATTTATTCAAATCTTTTGAATTAACAAGATTTGCTCTTAATTTAAATGCCTGTTAAAATAATAGTATGAAATTAACCATCATTATTTATCCTAGATAACGCAATTATCTGTTACCCTGCAACCTCCACCGATTGATATATGACTTTCTTGCTCCCATTAAAATATTTATATTTTTTGTATAAATGCTATAAAAAATACCTCCATATGTTTTTTGTTGAATAAACTTGATGGACTTGTTGATTGATATTAGATGAACATTATGAATTGATAAGGTTTCTAGAGGATGTTGGTCAATTCTTAGTTTTGCAGCTCATTTGTTTTTTCAAAGTATCTGACTTATTCTGCATTTTAGTTCCATTCTTTATAAAATTTGCCCGCATTTTAAATTCCGAATTCATTTTTATGACTGAAAAAGTACTAGGACCAAATTGAGAAACATTTTAGCTCCTACCGTCCATTTGTTAAGTTTTGCTTGTAAACAAATCTTTTATCTCAGTTATCGTATAATACTTGCCCCGAAGCAGACCTTTGTAGATAAAGCCAATGTTTCTAGACCAAACACTGAATATACCTGGTACGTTTTTTCTATATACATTCATATAACGAATTGCGCATGACTTTGCAAAATAAACACAGTTACAATAATAAATATTGAATAAAGAAATATCAATGGCAGGAGAGAGTTCTGTGAAAAGAGTGTGTTTAAAGGGAAGCAGTAATGCACGAAACACGTGCTTTGATCTTACACTTACCTCTGAATTGTCATCGTACTCGTCATCTAGTGAATCACCATACATTGGCATTGCATTGTGCTCCAATGAAAAATGATCGTCCAATATGTCGTCTGCATCATCAATGTCCGCTCTGACCATTGCAAAAAGATCCTGCCGAAATCCTTGGAAACGTGTGTAGAAATATAACGAACAGCCGCATGCGGTGATTGTCAGTACACATAATACGCTACATATAGCAGTCAGAAACGCTATTTTACGCATTGAAGATTTAATCAGTTTGCTATCGTCCTCTCGTCTGCATTTGCAATGCAAGCAGACGTCTTCTTCGCCGCCAAGATGTTCCTCTTCTTCCATCCCAGGCATCTGTATATCAAATAATGCACACTAATTATTTAAAAGTCCTAATTGCGCATGATTTCTTGCCAAATTATAAACTTTTGACATGTCGTTGTTTGCATTGATACGACTTTTGTTATCTAAATATCGAAACTGATATATATATTTATATCAATGTAATAGCATGCTTTTATCATAGCTCCTTTTATAAAACTAACGTATTTGTTAAAGCGATTGATTAGGTTGAAAAAAAGTTTAATAATCAATACTTTCAATATGACTTCCTAGAATTTTGATATGTCATTTTCATTATGCACCCTGTAAGATTATAACCTAGATTTTACTTACTTCTCAAACTATATATAGCTATAGTATATGTTAAACGCTCGCAAGAATAGTATTAAAATACATGCAGACGACACACACATATATATATGTAATTTGAACGGAATCTCCTGTTTAACATTTGAACCGGAAGTAAATTACAATTGTTGGGTGGGTAATTTTTATTTGCTGCTTTGTAAGTCTTTAAGTATTTTTTTTTGCATAAAAAAACATAGAAAACTTGATTTTAAAAAGATTTTTTCAGAAAATCCCCGATTTTCAGAGCTGTAAAACATAAAACGTTTTTATTTTAGCTCTCCCAAAGAGATATCAAAGGCATTATCAAAATTTTGGTTAAGTCACGTTTATGCCAACTAAATGTGTTTTACAATTACATTTTATATATTATATCATTTTATACAACTTTTTATGTCAGTAATGTATCTATTTTACAATAACACTTGATCATGGAAAAACAATTCTATAAAGCAATTGTTGAAAGAAAATGAAGAATAATTTATTTTCTATGTATTCGATTTTCAGCTACAGTCATGATTACGGAACGTATGCATTTATCATATTTCGTTTCAATTTCATGAATAAAAGAAAAAAATGCAATATATATTTTAATAATATGTTTGAAATTACCTTTGATTTTAATATCGGTTTGTTGTTGTTTACGTTTGTTATTGTTGTTGTTTTTTTTTCGTTTTTATTTTGATGATGTTAATGAGTTACTTAAAATAAATGCAAAAACCGAAGAATGGCTTTTTTATGACTTTAGTTGAAGATATCACTTTTCGTTCATTGCTATATACATTTAGTGATCTATTTAAATTTAAGCCATGTATGGCACGAACGAAGAATTAATCAAGGCAATGTCTAGTTGCTGGTCGGTAAGTGCAGCTTGATTCAGCAAAAACATTTCTTGCATGATTAAATGTGAGCCGCGTCAAGACAAAACCAACATAGTGCATTTGCGACCAGCATGGATCCAGCCGCGCAGTCTCATCAGGATCCATGCTGTTCGCTTACCAACTTTATTACAAGTAGAGAAACTGATAGTGAACAGCATGGATCCTGATCAGACTGATCAGACTCCAAAGCATTTTTGTTTTTGTCGTTTTATTTTTTATATATATGAGTCGCGCCTTGACAAAACCAACATAATGGGTTTGCGACCAGCATGGATCCAGACCAGCCTGCGCATCCGCGCAGTCTGATCAGGATCCATGCTGTTCGCTTACAAACCGTTTAACAAGTAGAGAAACTGATAGCGAACAACATGGATCCTGATCAGACTGCGCAGATGCGCAGGCTGGTCTGGATCCATGCTGGTCGCAAACCCATCTTGTTGGTTTTGTCATGGCGCGGCTCATATATATTTAACGTATTATTTATTAAGTCAGTTGTGTGGCTTAGTTTGCCAACGAATGCAAATCATAATAAGATAGTAAAAGGTATACAACGTTTACTAGGATTTTTTTATTTTTTTATAGCAACATCTGACTTTAATAACATGTTAACCAGAATTTAGATTTTCTACGTTTCATTTTAAGGCGATAGTCTCAATCGAAACCCTATTAAATAAATAGCAATGAATTACTTACAAAAAATAACAAATAACCTAGTGTTTTACTTAAGATATTTTGGTCCCTGTACGCCATGACCTTTTCGTTTCAATCCCTTTACTTTTCGACCACTAAAAGTTTTAATTAAACAACGTAACTATTCGACCCCATATCCGAGGCAAAAAAAAAACACTTTTCCTATAGTTTCTTCATCTTTTTTACATTTTATGCTAAGAAGGAAATTCTAAATTAGAAAAGAAAATATTCTCAAAAGTTGCATAATATAAAGAAATCTTACCTGAATCAACGAAGAAAAACCTTTGGGGTCGCCATCCTACATATGAGTTATTTCTAGCCCAGACAGTGAGGTTTTGCTTGTTTTAACCACCTATCAAGAGTACTCAACATTAAAGGGACTCCTGCCTAAAAACATAACATTTGAATTTCTTACATAAATGAGCTGAGGTACTTTCAACAGAAATATATTCAAAGATTGTTCAGAAATATACTTTGAAATAAATTGAAAAACGTATTTTTATGCTTTTCTAAGCCCGATTTGAGTGAAAAGTGTTTAAATGCTTTTCATTTTGTGTCATTTTTTTCAATTTGAACAAGTATTCTTGAAAAACAAAGTGCGCGAATGATCTAAAAATTTTCAAAAAATTAGTGGTTTAAACCTACATCAAATGGTACATTTATCTAGAAAAAACATTTTCAGTCCCATCATGTCAAAAAACCTCAGCAAGCAGCCCCTGATATGATTTTAAATTTGTTTTTATTACATAGTATAAAAAAAATCATTCTTCGCCTATTTGTGAAAAATTGTAGACATTTCCTTCCAGTTAAGCCCAAATATAAAGTGCAAAAGGTTTGCCCATTGAAGCATAAAAAAATGCATGTCCGATTGAATTATTTTAAAGTTAAGATTAAAAAAGGAAAAGTAACTTGAAATGCATTAACGTATCAATATGCTTGATTTGTAGTTTTATCTGCTGTGTGCAAAATGAAGAAACATTAAGTACATTAATAGATATTTTATCAATTGAAAACAGTAATAATTTTTTAAAAAGTTAACATAATTTATATAATGTATAAGTATAGTATGGTTGTTTTTTAAATAATCAAATATTTAGCGAAAATTCATCGGAGCTAACAGCGCTTAGGAACGTAATTTGTGGATTATCACGTGACATTTGTTTACGGTTACTTTGGGTGACTGTTACATTTGCTTTTCCATAAATGTTTCTATGTGGCAATGTTTTTATGAAAATATCTGTCAAAATTTCTACAAGCATATCTTGATAAGTACAAGGGCTACGCTGGAAAAATATTTAAAATTGGAATTTTAGAACATATTGGCCAAAGGATGATGCATGATTGATAATAACGAAGAAATTAGCAAATACAAATAGTGCTGGCCCAATATTACCATAAATAAATGTCACGTGATTATCCATACAGATTTTACTCTTGAAACAACAGACAAAAAAACAAAATTTATCATCTGAGATATATTGACTTAATCAAAATTCATCTGAGACTCGTCACGACAAAACCAACAGGGTTTGCGACCAGTTTGGATCCAGACCAGACTGTGCGGATGTGTAGGCTGGTTTGGATCCATGCTGGTCGCAAACGCATAAATTAATGTTGGATTTGTCATGACGCGCTCATATATATAAAATGGATTATTCATTGAAAATAGTTTTTCATGGTGTGTACATAAATGTATCAAAAGTGAATTTTGATTTTTTTTATTCTTACCCTTTTTTGATGTTCATGTATGTATCAAAATTGTTTTTAATCGATGTTGGTGTGCAATTTGAAAAAAAAAAAATCACGTTCTAGGTGAGCAACAAGGCGTAAAGTTTTCTCTTGTCTTACAATTGTTATTTTATCTGTTACCCAATTAGCTTTTGGCGTGATATAAATGGAAACAGATATTGCAAACAAAAATGACTAATAATTATGCTGACACCATGTTTACAAATAAAAGCGTATCTAGTATTGTCATACAAAAACGTTAAACAATTAAACAAGGGATAATTGATTTATATTTTAAAATCCACCTAATAAGTTTTATTATTGATCTGTTGAAGACGGGGGAACTTTTCTAACAATACTTTTTATTATTCCATTTTATTTCTGCTGCTTAAAACACGTTACCGGTGGCAATTATATCATAAAAAATATCCCAAAGAATGTTTATGTCAAAAGGTTATAACTGTGGTAATTTCCCGTAAAATCATCCAGGGCCAATAACAAAATTCTCTTGATATCTTTATTGTTCATATCCAAGGTTTCTATTTGCTCGGTTGTTTTATAAATTCAATGAGCAAAGACCAGACAGGTGACTAATATAGCATTGATGTTTTTGCACTGACCTGTACATAATACATTTACAATTTTTTTTAAAAATGGACCATTGTTTTACTTCTTTTATAGATAGATTCCCCTAGATTCCCCTAGATCATCAAGAAAATTGTATAATAATAAAGTGAACTTTTCAGTTTCTTGTTTCAAGGGAGATTACTAATGGTATGAAGTCCTGTTCCGGTACAATTTGCCTGTCGGAATGTTATTTATAACTATCATTGTATTTCACGATAACTATGTCAGTTTCATTTGTTATGATCCAAACTCCTAAAAAAACTTCACCGACCCACTCTATCGCCAAATCAGAATAATCATATAATCCTTCAGACATTTGTGACGATGAAATGCCATGGTATGGTATGGTTTAAGTATTGGTACTGGTATGGACCTTTCCGGTTTTTCGAAGCGGAAGACTTAGCCAACTTTTTCCATTCATTGCTAGGTCAACTGTTCACAAACAGTATCACAAACATAACCACGTGTTTTTGTGCAAACCAGGTCAACCAGTGACTATGTATTATCCCAGTGTAGCTGGATAACAAGTTAGCCAAATAACATTAAACTGTAAACACTGGAAAGGTCCATTGGTATTGGTATTGGTATTGGTATGGTATGGTATGGTATGGTATGGTATGGTATGGTACATGTATTGTATTGGTATCGTATTGGTGTTTGTATTGGTATGGTATGGTATTGGTACTGGTATATGGTTTGATATGGTATGGTATTGGTATTTGTATGGTATTGGTAAGGTATGGCAGGGATTCCACTGGCCAATTTTTGTTTTCCGCCACTGAGGAGGGTCCGGGAGGGAGCTCCCTGTCGGATGTTGAAAAAAAAATCTCATTCTTAAATTTTCAATTTACAAGGCATCTACAGCCGCAACTGTTAAAAATAATTTATAGAACTTATGCATTTAAAAGGACAAATCAAATGTTTTTTTTCTGTCTTTATTTTCTAAAATCTGCATACACCATATTGATCAACAAATAACAACTCATTTATCATAATTAAAATCAAATGCTCAAAAAACT